ATTTCGTCAGTATAACGGCAAAAATAAGAAATTGGGAGACCATTGTACAATAATATATGGAAAAGTATATTCATAATGTACATGAATGACATTTGTATATTTCAGATTTTTTTCTTGTAATTTGAAGAATTTTAGCCATGTTAATCTTATTGAAAATAACATGGCAGAGAAGCATCCCAATATAAGAGGCCACACACTTTAAAAGCCAAACTAGAAGCAATCCAAGATATACAAATGTCATTCATGTACATTATGAACCCGGGGGGTTCACTGTATATAAAACTCGACGGGGGTCCTAGGCTGAAGCCTCAAATATCAATATGTTCCAATACCAATCTGTTAAATTTCAATATGTTCCCATACCAACCAAAATAACGCCCAAAGGCCATACCAAATGTCCAAATATAGGACCAATGCCATACCAAATGTCCAAATATAGGACCAATGCCATACCAAATGTCCAATTATGGGACCAATGCCATACCAAATGTCAAAATGTAGGACCAATGCCATACCAAATGTCCAAATATGGGACCAATGCCATACCTTAATTCAAAGTAAATGAAATATAGGATCAATATCATACAAATGTGCGAATACAGGACCAATCACCATACCTATGATTGGTCCTCATTTCCCGGGAAAAGGGCTAAAGTTGAGAAGGCCCTGGAAAAGAAGATACTTCGGGAAACGATCCAAAACAACTTCAAATTTGCAACTACTGGACCAATGCCATACCACGAATGTTAGGTAACGTATCTACAACGACCATTCTCATACCAGAAGAGCAAAAGTCCGACCATTGCCATACCTCAGAAGTCAGAAATTTCCAGGCATTCCCATACCAAATCCTAAAATATGGGTCCATTGCCATACCAAACGTTGAAAAAGGTACCCCACATGCGCCGAGGATCCCCGTCAAGGTTTATATATAGTGAACCCCCCGGGATTATGAATATACTTTTCCATATATTATTGCACAATGGTCTCCCAATTTCTTATTTTTGCGGTTCTACTGACGAAATGAAGCAGAAAAATGGACTCTGATTATTGACATAGACAAAAACTGCATGAATTCGAAAGAATTTCTGGCCGAGGGGGGGAGAGCTCTGGCTACGGGTGTGCTAATGAATTATAAAAATTATTGTTATAAGATTATTCTATAATTATTATGGATTAAAACTGCCTCAGTTTGTACGAGAATCACTCACTGAGTCAAGAGTGCCTCACAACTCTCCAGGCCTCTCAAGTCTCAGTCACGGGCCACCAGTTTCGTCAATTTTTTCATAAATTTACACTACAAATAATGACCATACTCACATATATTGAATTTAAAGTCGTCAGTTTTGAAGATTTGCAGATTTACCAAAACAACTGCTCCAGATGCCTCAATACTTTCCACTTTTCGTCAAATTAGTAAAAATGTTCACTTTTCATTTCACATTCAAAATCTCCTCAAAAATGGCGCCGATTAACACCCCTGCGCATGGATGTTAAATAGTACCTAAACATGCATTACTATTATTAAACCTCAAATATGATGTCCTATGAAACATTTGAATATTAATAGAAATAATAGAATGAAATATATGGAACATATATTTTGACTGTTCTCAAAATCTGAAAGTAATTTTGAAAAACTTTGTCTACGCGGACTAATTTCGCTTACACTAGACGAAAATAAATCCATACGACATCTACAGGTAGTTCCCGGGTAAATGTAAACTATTTGATTGTGCAGGCCCCTAGCCGAGGGGGGTATTCATTGTGATCTGGATGAAGCATATACTGTCTATGAACCGAGTCAATGTCATCCATGTGATATATGTCATACATTCCAGGCCCGCAGCCAGAGGGGGAGCTGGGGGAGCGGAAGCTCCCCCTGGCCAGAAATTCTTCCATGCAGTTTTTCACCATTAGTCTGAGAGTTTTTCGCATGATTTTTAGCCAAAATTGTGAAAAAGCTCCCCCCCCCTGGAGAAAAGCTCCCCCCTGGTAAAAGCTGGCTACGGGCAAGCATTCATTATTTTGTCACTATCATATTATATATGACATGTCACTGCATTTCACGTCTTTGGAATTTCCTTCTGAATTTCTCATTAAATCTTAGTCAAGATATTATTTTGTCTCAATGTTGATTTTCCGAAAATTGGACACATAATATGTCAGAAATACATGACACATATGCCATACATACAAGTCAAACATGTCATATATGTCATACATACATGCCATATATAAGTTACATGTCATATATGTCATGTCATTCATAGGCCTACGTGTCATACATGTCATTGATATGTAATACATACATGCAAACATATATGTCATATATACATGTTATATATGTTATGTATGTCATCCATACATGTCATATATACACGTCGTATATGTCATGTATTGTCACCGAAACATATATCATATAAGACTTATATACTTGTATGTCATGTTTGTCAGTCACCCATATATGTCATACATGTCGTATATGTCACATGTCATATAGCCTACATGTATGTCAAACATACATGTTATATATGTCATAGACACGTTCGCGTTGTGAGAATCGGGGTTCGAGTGCAAGGAACGTTGTTCGCGATGTGGAAGTTTAGGAGGCCTGGGTTCGACTTTTCGAAAATGTTCGTGTAATTTTTTGCTCGTGTGCGCGACGCCCACTTAAAATACGTTTTACCATACGTTAAATAAAAAAGTGCCATAGCTACTGTACCTTGCCAAATTTCATATCATCATCACTCATCTTCATCCCATCTGAACACTGCATTTATGTAAATTATGACACTACTATTGTATGTGTAAATATCCGCTGTATAAAATGTATTTTCACAAGCCAATAATGTGCAAACGTAGGCTTGTTTCTCCATATTCATGTATTATTGTATTATTGTATGTTTATATATGTCTTAAATATGGAAATAAAATAACCTTAAAAAAAAAAAAATAAATAAAAAAAAATAAATAAAAAATTATCGACGATAATAAAGTTGAACATATGATAAGAGATTTAACTTGACTTTATTTCCAATAACTTCAAATGTCCCTATTTTTCACTCTGAAATGACATTTATTTTGTGACAATACATAATGCACTTATAAGTATTTATTACTAAACTGTTTGACTCTATGGTCGCACCCATCATGTTTTACGGAGCCGGAATCTGGGGGAATACCGAATACACGGAAATTAACAATGTCCAACTACGGGCCAATAGAATTTTCCTCGGTGTCAGTAATCGGGCATCTCGAGCAGCGACAATGGGTGATACTGCCAGTATTTCTCCATATGTACATCAACAAACAGCAGTAAGTCGCTTGTGGTGTCGACTGACAAACATGGCCGATGATAGACTTCCTAAGCATGTGCATAAACATTCAACTAATTTAACAATGGCCGGAAACCGCAAAACATGGGAATTTCACACGAAGGCAACGTTGATACACGCAGGAGCGGGGGACATCACAGACATGCAATTTATCCCCAACACCAGAGCTAAAATTAACCAAATCAAGGAAACTATAGCATCACATGATCATATCGAGTGGCATAGGATGATTCATAATGATAACGGGTGCCCAAACGGAAACAAACTCAGAACTTATCGCCTACACAAAGTACATTGCACTGAGCCAGAACATTACGTTACGCAATCAATGAGCAGATATGAGAGACGCGCTATTGCTCAACTCCGTCACGGCACACTGCCCTTAAACATTGAAACTGGGAGGTACACCGCAACTCCCCTACACCAGAGGTTGTGCCCATGTGGTCAGTCAGTTGAGACCGAAATTCACTTTTTAGTTGAGTGCAAATTATATATAAATGAACGATCTAGTCTGTTTTCCAAAATGTTAAATTATAATGACTTTGATATGCAAACAAGTTTAGTGAAATACTGTTTGATAATGAATGAAAAGACTGTTCAACGAACACTTGGTAAAACAATTATAAAAATGCAAGCCAAACGGCGTAGCATAATGTAACACTCCACTGTCTCTCATAGGTCGGCATCGGCCAGGCACTGTTTAATTTTTATGTATTGTTTTAACGTGATATTATGTATACAGTATCTGTTTTAGTGCGTGAGACATAAATAAATAAAAATACTACTACTATTACAGGTCGTGTAGACCGTTGTTGCTTGATTCATAGCAAAAAGATTGACATTTGCGCGTTGGTGACGCTGCGCCTTTTTAATAGATCCTATATATTAGAACCCCATCAGTTCAAAAAAAAATCCTAAAAGACCTAACGATTCAATTGAAACCGTTCTCTTAAAGAATAAATCTTTAAGGTTTGTTGATTTTTTTAGTGAAAATCAGCTACCCCCCTCCATTTCATTTTTTACGATCACCGGGCGTGGGAATAGAATAGTATATCGTCACACATTTATAAAAGGGAAATTCTTATTTTGACAAATCAATTTCACATTTCATGGGTGAAGTTTGAAGATCTCCTTTTTTGTGTTTATAGGAAAAATTGACATCTAGATTTTCAAATCATGTACAAAGGCTGATCCAGAAGTTCTGATAAAAATGCTTTTTCTTGAGTAAAGAAAATCACCTGAAATTTTTACACAATTTACATAATTTATATGCCTATCCAGCAGGGAATTTTGAGTATGATTTATTATTATAACTTTCTGTTGTTATTACACTTTTAGACGGATGGACGGACGGACGAACGGAGGGCTTCACTATATCCCTACCGAACTTCGTTCGTTTGGATAATAAACAAGTCTTTAATCAATAATGTCGTGGTGTGATTTTAAACCTGTTCAACTGTTTCAACATTATCTCTTTGATTTACACTCATCTTTGGCATCTGCAAGTCTAACTTCTTTTTAAACCAGGCGTCTGAACTTTCCAAATATGTATGCGCCTGTAGGTAGCATGACATAAATTTGGGCAATGTTCCATTAAGAGGGAAATCATCCATCAGAATGGGAATCAGTATTTGATCTGGATGAAGCATGTACTGTTTGTGAGCCAACTTGAATTGGTTCACACACTCCAAGCTTTCGAGGAAATGGCGAGACAGAATCATGATTGTCCTTTGTGTGTGTTCGATGCTTTCTGTGATTACATCCACCAAGATGTCTCCTGAAAAATGTACAAAATAAAATATGCCAACAGTAAATGGTGAGACAGAATAATAGTTGCGTGTGTTCGAGTTGAACTTCCGACAACAAATAAAAATACCAAAAGGCATCCACCTGTCGGGAGAAATAACTTTCTTGGACTATTTTTGGAAATATTAAAAAGACAAAGGCAAGGAGTACACACGACTCAGCTTTTTGTGATAGCCTCCGAATGAAAACCTTTTTACACCCAATCCAGGTGATCCATTCTGTGACACTGTGTTTTTTGACATTTAACACGGAATATAAATGATTCCATAGAACATAAGATAAGAATAAAGGTTATTAATGTGCCCGGGGGTTCACGTATAATATAAACCTTGACGGGGATCCTCGGCGCACATGGGGCACCTTTTTGACATTTGGTATGGCAATGGACCCAAATTTTAGTATCTGGTATGAGAATGTCCACACATTATGACTTTTGAGGTATGGCAATGGTCAGATTTTTCCACTTTCTGGTATGAGAATGGTCGTGGAAAATATGTTACCTCACACTTGTGGTATGGCATTGGTCTAGCAGTTACACATATATTTAATTTGAGGTTGTTTTGGAACGTTTTCCTCAAATATCGCCTTTTTGGGACCTTCTTCAATTAAAAAGCTTTTTTCTCGAGAACATTCTACTTTCAATCAGCATTGGTATGACATTGGTCATATATTTAGACGTTTGGTATGGCATTGGTCTTATATTTGAACATCTGGTATGGCTTTTGGGCATTTTATTGGTTGGTATGGGAACACATCTGAATTTGAAAAATTGGTATAGGAATATATTGATATCTGAGGGTTCAGCCTAGGACCCCCGCCGAATTTTCTACATGTGAGCCCCCGGGTGAATGTGAAGGTATGACAAATAGGGTAGAAACTAGGAGTCATTAAAGTGAAATTAATCGCTATAATCATTATGGGCAATGGATAAATAACATTAGACATTGAAAGAAATCTTTGCAATCCTAAATCTATCATCTGAAGAAATAATGAGACATCTGCTTAAACATGGAAGCTGCGTAGAATTTACCAAAAAGAAAAAAATTATAATTATAATAATTGACAAATACATTCACCTGCCAAAAAGTCTCTTTCTGGAATACACCCTATGCAGACAGAGCCTGTGGGAAATATTGGGTGCGGAGCAAATGAGCGGAGGGTGCGGAGCTAACGGTTATTTTTGAATTTAAATTTGGGATATTTCTGAAACTAAGCCGTTTTGGGACTTCAAATATACCAAGATATGTGTATTTGACACCAAATATCAATACAATTGTGAAAATAGTAGCGCAATTCATTCTATAGCGACGCAGTGTGCCTTAAACCTTTCCCAGACCTATATATTTTGAAATTATCCTTTTAATACTGAGTCCCCAGCATTCATAAAAAATGGTGTTCAAGGTGCACTATCTATACAAATTATTTTTGCATCTTGGAAGCCAGGCAGTATCTGTGTGATTTTATATAAATTCGGAAATGTTCTTCAGATATGAGCCCCTCTAAATATTGGGTGCGGAGCAGCTCCATAAACGTAGCTCCGCACCCAATATTTAGAGGGGCTCATATCTGAAGAACATTTCCGAATTTTTATAAAATCACACAGATACTGCCTGGCTTCCAAGATGCAAAAATAATTTGCATGGGTAGTGTATCTTGAACACCATTTTTTATGAATGCCGGGGACGCAGTATTATAAGGATAGTCTCAAAATATATAGGTCTGGGAAATGTTTAAGGCATACTGCGTCGCTATAAAATGAATTGCACTACTATTTTCACAATTTTATTGATATTTGGTGTCAAATACACATATCTTAGTATATTTGAAGTCCCAAAACGGCTTAGTTTCAGAAATATCCAAATTTTAAATTCAAAAATGACCGTTAGCTCCGCACCCTCCGCTCATTTGCGCCGCACCCAATATTTCCCACAGGCTCTGTCTGCATAGGGTGGAATACATAGTTTGAATTTTGGTTCCAGTTGCTTAATTATATGCTCATCCACCCATTCAAAGTCATTCATGTCAAAACATACAAAAGCATCACTGTTTTTTGTCCCTATATCTACTGTGTATGATTTCTTTTTTCTGATCAATAAAATGATCACAGGTTTGAAATAACATAAGGTGACGATTGCAGTAACTGTTACTAAGACAACAAGGCAACACATCCCTACGAGTAGTTTCCAGTCTATTAAGCAGACTGTTTTGCTTATTCTTTGATTGGTTATAGGTGATCCATCTTTACAGACAATATTATTCCCACAAAAGTCAATGGATTTTTCTCTTTGAAGAATCCATTTTTCCATCCACAAACTTGAGCAATCACATTTAAAATGGTTACCATGGAGACAGAATTTCTTTAAAGATGACACGGTATATTCCCAGTTCCTAGGTAACGAAGATAATTTGTTGTATTGTAAAAGAAGCTCAGAAATTTGACTGAAATCGTTAATATTTGTGATTTCAATAACATTTAGATCATTATAACTGAGATCTAAAACTTTTATTTTGCTGATGTAGTTCCTTTTTGGCAATGTCTGTATGTGATTACTACTGACATTTAGTACAATAGATGTCTCCTGTGATGACTGAGGCACTATTTGTGGAAGTTCATAAAGGTCTTTGTTTATACAATCCACATAAAGATTTGATTCATGTGGAATATAGTGACATTCACATGCTTTGTGACAATCTTCTGTGAGTTTACATTGGAAATCATTTTCAGACAGATCAGTGACATTATGTAGTATGTCTGATTCTGGAAATTTACATTTGAAGTTGTCTGAGATCCACCTTAGTGTCCTTTCTACTCTAATAGATGGCCTTGAGCTTTCAATCTTCATCCGCTTTATAACAGTGAATGTATTGTACATGCTACAATCACAAACTAATGGATTGTACATGATATTAATATCCTTAAAGCCATGAGTATTGAATAATGCATGAAGGTCTGCTTTATTTGCAATGTTGATATTGGACAGTTCTTGTATTCCAAAAGCGGTAAAGTTATTATGAGTCAGATGAAATGTATAGTAACGTCCTTGAGCAAAATCCCGCAACGTTACGTTATTAATGTTTGTGATTTTGTTAATTTTATTGTGAGAAAAATCATATTCATTATAAATTCCTTCCAGAAATACTGCATCGACTTCCACAAGGTTATTATGGCTAAAGTTAAGTTTTAGGTTGTTTTCTACACTGAAGGAATTCCTCTCTCTGTTCAATCTATTTAGGAATCCACCTGGCAGAATTTTTAAGTTATTATAAGCCATGTTTAAATACCTCAATGATCCAAAACATGTAATTGAATCATTTTTGATGTAAATATTGTTATAGCGAAGGTCAAATTCATTTAGGTGACAGTATAAACACAATTCCCTGGGTAGAATTGTAAGATTGCAATGATTATACTCCATGCGTTTGACCATATTTGGTAAAATTGTTACTTCTTTGCAATTATTGTTCTGCATGCGTTTGACCATATTTTGTAAAGTTGTTACATGTTCATCACATCTTATCCAAGAACTGTCATAGAGTTGAAATCTGCATTGACATTGCTTGTCAAAGTATTGAGATTTTATGACCTCAAATGTAATCAAACAAGCGAGGAGTACTCTGAAACGTCCCATCTTTATTTGTAATATTTGCTGTGTACCAATCTTTGTTCTGTCTCGCTAAGCATCATTTCTAATATTTGACAATAACTTGGACTCCTCTGTTAAACATTTGATAATCAAAATGTAAGTACTAAGTAAGTGGCTGAAGAAGTAAATGAACTTTATTGAGACTTATTTGGTACACCAGGAAGCTTAAATAGTCAAAAATTGTCTAACTCCAGTTAACAATAGTGCATCAATATCTACTTTTCAGTATCAGCAATGCATAAGAAATGATTCATCACAGTTAAGTAGACAATCTTGACAAAACTTTGAGTGATCAAACAAGAATATCCTCAATACCAAGAACCCAAAATGATGATCATGACTACCTTGTTTGTACATCTTTACAGTAGCATTTAGGTGAAGATATTGTTACCTCGTTTGGTTTCAAGGTGTCATAATTGTTATCATAAACAGCTGAAAGTTTTATTACAAATTAATTCTATTGACTTTTCGCATCCCACATATTTCAACCCTTTCCATAATGAACAGATTAAGTGAAAATAAATGAAGCCCTTTGATTTTTTCCAACATCCACCAGCGTACTTAGCTCTGCACCAATCATAATGGAGGTCATTTTGAGTATGCCATCTAAATGTCTCAGTAAGTTTCAAGTTTCTATGAAATCTTGACATCTAATAGGAAAATGAATTCTCCTCATCATTTGAAATGTTCAGCTTTTTTTTCAAAAGGAATGATAAATGAAACCAAGATTTGTTCCTTGAGGGACACCTTGAGTTAATTTAGATTGGGCTGATTTTTAGCCATTAGCAAAAACTCTAGCTGTTAAAGGCCTAACACAAACTTTAAATCACTTTGGTTTATAGTCTTCCTCAATGTTATTAAAATGTTGTTTGTGAAACTTTTCAATTTCAATTTCAATAAGTTGATTTTGTAGGTCTATTCGAGAAATTGTGAATTAATTTTAAATAAAATTTTAGTTGTGACGCACATCTAATGTAAAGCAATAATTTACACCAATGCATAACATACATCCTACCCTGCAGAAAACTCATAAATCCAATTGAAAATAATTATCAAAAACAAGAAAAAACTTCAATCTAGATAGGTCGACAATGTTACTTTATTTTAAAAGTTTAGCATATTCAAAAATATATTTGTAAAAGAAAAAATTACAATTTTTGGAAAAATATTTTGTCAACTGACTGTCAATGGATACAATATAATACAATACTATACCATACAATACAATAATACAATGAAGATTGACTAAACTACATATATACAAAGACATTATCTGCATCTTAAAAGCATAGAGTAGGCAAAATATAATGTTGAATTCTAAAACTAATTCTGCAAAAATGTTTGCTGGTTGTGCTTTATACACTCATGTTACATGTTCTTTAGAGAACAAATTATTCCTTATAATATATAATGATAAATATATTTTCTTAAAATCCAAAAACCTCATATTCATATCTTAACTAAATACTTTACTAACCAAATTGTCATAAGACAATGTGTCATACTGTCAAATATTTACATACAATCTAATCCGAACGCCTCTGGAAATGTCCAAAAGTGTTTGAATTAGCGCAAGTGTTCACATTTCAAGGATTTATAAACATGTGAGTCAATGGGAGATAACATAATTGGGACCAAAAAGTGTTCACATTGAGAGGGGTTTAGATTAGACAGATGTTTGAATGTTCTGGTTTCCCTGTCCCTGTATGAACAAAATCGCTTCACTTCACAAGTTACAGCAAAAAATTGATAAATAAGCAAGCATTTTCACAACCAGTTTTGGAGCAGAACTTGTACTCCCATAGTATGTTGTACTTGTATACTTGAAATGTGTGCATACTGATGATATTTAAAAGTAAATGACATTTGTGAAAACTGCCAAACTTAATCAGTTAACATATTTCACAATACCATATTTCATACAACATTAATGTCTTCTGGATCTATCTCATACACAACATTTTCATATTGGATATTTTCCCGATTATTTTTGATATTCTCATCATTGGTATGTTCATTTGGAGCACCTTCGATATGCTTGATGTGTCCATTTTCTACATGTCCATTCTGTGGCTTTTCATTTGGAATATGACCATTCAGAATGTTTGGTATAACTGTGCCATTTGATATGGTTGACACACGTATGGCATCAGGGATGGCATCATTCAGCTCTTTGATGTCATCATTATTGTCAATCTTGACTGCAAGATGTCTTTGATTGTTCATCTCCTCTTTATATTCAATAATACTAGTTTTTGGCATTCGGTCTTTGATCTTCTTATCAAACCATGGATCGTCACATTTCAGGTAAGTGTGAGCCTGCAGATAGCATTTCACATGGCTTGGCATTTCTTGGGTTGTGTCAAAGTCGGGTAGCAGTATAGGGATCAACACCTGGCTGGGATTCAACATGTATTGTCTATGCGCAATCAGAAACTCTTCCTTGCACCATCCACTCTCCAAGAATCGAGGCGATAGAACCATTATTGATCGTTGACTTTTCCCAATACTGTTCGCAATATTGTCCACTATCGGTTTTCCAACTTCAAAATCCCTGTTGTGTATACAGAGTTTGTATTTTGGCTCCAGGAGGGGTATAAGAACATTCCGGATCCACATAACATCTTGAGTTACATAACCGACAAAAACATCATATTCTTTTCCTCCTGGAATTTCTTTGTATTCACGCCTTTTTCTGATGAACAACACAATAATGTTTCTGAAGCGATACAATGTAATGAGACCCATGGTGACAAGAGTCAGACATAGCATTGGTAGTCCAACAATAAGTCCCCAGTTAATATAACAGATGGCTTCATTAAAATCATGTTCTATAATTATGTCCCCTGTCTCACCACATGTTATCATTCTTGGTTTATGGAGGCGTTTATCTTCTTTTAAGGCCCAGAGCCAAGGTTTCAACCACATTGTGGAGCAGTTGCACACCAGATGATTTCCATGTAAGGTCAAATTAGAAAGAATTGGGAAAGGCATATCTTTCATTTTGCTTGGAAGTGTTGAAAATTGATTATCATGGAGGTACCATTTCTGGATGGCATTTAAATTGTCCAAGGCTTCATCTTCAATTGTATTCAATCTGTTACCACTTACATCAAATGTCCCAAGATTAGGTAGATAGCTCCGATTTTTAATTTCGCTGAGTAAATTACCTGACATATCCAGGTTGATCAACTCGCTATTGTCATTTTGATTTAATGGAAGACTGTTCGGTAATTCCTCAAGACTCTGGCTACTACAGTTTACTTCTAGGCGCTTCATCTCTGGTTTACGCATACAGGTACATTTTTCTGGGCATTTTTCTGTAATGTTACATATCAACTGAGTGCCATCTAATTTTGTAATTGGCTTTCCTTTGACATCAGCAGGGTACATACAAGTTATTGATTGCTCCACCCAAGATTTGAATATGTCTGGGGTGGATGGAAATAAAATCAACTCATTTAGAAACTGTTTGATTTCGTACATATTACAGTCACACATGATTGGATTATTAGAAATGTCAATATACAGGAATCCATCGAGGCTAAATAAGGTTTTCAACTCTGTTATATCAGTAATGTTAAAAATTGCTTTGACTATGTCAACGTTTATATACTTGAATTTGTTGTGCTGCAAATTTAAGTAAGAAATATGCTGTCTTTTAAAATCAACTCTAAATCCAGTGTTATCAAATTTGTAGATTTCGTTGTGAGAAAAGTCAAACACTTTGATTACATATGAAGGACTCATGAGTAAGAGTTGAATAAACTTTGAGTCGATGGATGTAAGTTTATTATAGCTCCAGTCTATATATTTGAAGCTGAGCCTGTCAGAGAACATGTCTTTTTCGATCATTTCCATATCATTGTTATTCATGTAAAGTGTGTTTAGCATCATTAGGTTGTCAAAAACACCAGCTTGAAGCTTTCGTATTTTGTTAAAGCTCAAATCAATAGTTTCTAAACTTCTGAAGTTTGATCCACATCTGAATATATCTTTGGGGATCTCAACTATGCTATTGTAAGATAGATCCAGATTCGTTAAGCTCCTGAATTCACAAATCCATAAAGGGATGCTTGTTAGATTGTTATGTGTGACATCCAAAGTATGTATGTTCTCAATATTAATTTGTCCAGTGTTAACTGTGTTGATGTCTGTTCCAGGTGGACAACTTATTTTCAACACGCCATAATTACCGTCCTTGACATCACATTCTGTGGTGCTATCAGACAACGCATAGTTTATGAACATACATGTACATACAACAGCTACAATAAAAAACTGCATCTTCATTTTTGAAAGATAGTTTGTAGATGTTTATGAAAACTATGATATACTATTTCTGTATTTGTTGCTTCTTGATCTTTTGTGTGTGCCCAATTTCATTCACATTCCTTGTTTTGCTGTGTATTTCGTATAATTGATATAGTTTGTCAACATTTACTTTGATTCCTCCTCAGTATTTTTTAATTACCAAAGGTACTTACTTATGACAATTAAATGTTTTTAGTTAAATCTCTGGTACTAAATTATGATAATTAAATGTTTTTAGTTAAATCTCTGTTACTTATTTTTGATAATTAAATGTTTTTTAGTTAAATCTCTGGTACTTACTTATGATAATTAAATGTTTTTAGTTAAATCTCTGGTAGTTACTTAAAAAATACTATTCATGTTTGTGAAACTTCACTTTCCTAACTCATCCAGTATTTCTGATTAGATGCGGAAATCATTAGTATTTATACAGGTCTTATGTATGCCCCTAGATATATGGCACAATACAATACTTGGTATTGAAGTAGTTTTTTTTGAATTAACCACTTAAAGACTTGTTATATCATATTCTATAAATATTGATTTTCACTTATTTAAGCTTCCTAGTGTGCGATTATTGGTCGTGAGATATCCCAGGGGTTGGAGTAACTTAACACTCTCGAGTAATCCTTATTTGGGGTATATTTTCTTAGAATAGTGCTTTTCAATATTCTTTTTAATGAAGTTTCTATTTATAATATACCTTTTGTTTTTCCCATTGGTTATTATGCTTTCAGTTTTCCAAAAACGTATTTGTCAATTTCAATAACATTTGGGAAAGCCATGGAAGTAAGTCAAAGACATGATACAATAAAAATACAATATTAGAACACCTCAACACACTGTCAAGGTCAAATCAGTATCTTTCAAATGTTTGTATTTGAAGTTTAACCCAAAGTCTAATCATTTAATGTTATACATCTTTAAATGCTAGTTTGACAAAGAATTATTTGAAATAATAGAAGATATACAAGAGAAGGAATATATAAATACAAAAAATACTATTTTCAAAGATAAAGTAATGCTTTATTTATTTTCTTAACAAAAGTAGAAAAATCCTATTTAGCTATATACAAATAAAAACCACAAGATGCCTTACATAGAACATATCAAAAGTAAAGCTCAGTCTCTTAAGCTGATCTTAAAATTAAAAAGTTCTGAACAACCTATTACTCGCACTAACTCTTTTTGAGAGATGAAAGATTACAATTTTCTATGAAATATGGCAGCCATTTTGACAACAGCCTACAAAATGTGAACTGAATCTGTCAACTGGTATTTGAGTTATTGCCCAGACAGACGGAGGGATGGACAAATGGACAGACAGATCTGTATTATCTCTTCTGAACTATGTTCAGATGGATACTTAAATTGATGCATTTATTAGTCATTGCTTAAATACTTACAAAAAAGGTTGGCATCAACATTTGATTGGTATTCACATATAAGACCTGCATTAGATAGTGAGCCCTTTTTAGTACCAAGGTATTATATTTACAGAACATAATTAGAAGTATATATAATACATACAGTGCAGTATTACATGTATATACAACTACTAATGTATCTAGAGTCCATTTCACTGCTTCAGTTCGTCAGTAGAACGGCAAAAATAAGAAATTGGGAGACTATTGTGCAATAATATATGGAAAAGTATATTCATAATGTACATGAACGACATTTGTATATTTCAGATTTTTTAGTTTTTTGTGCAATAAGCCTGTGCCATCTTGTAATTTGAAGAATTTCAGCCATGTTAATCTTATTGAAAATAACATGGCAGAGAAACATCTAAATATAAGAGGCCACACACTTTATAAGCCAAACTAGAAGCAATCCAAGATATACAAATGTCATTCATGTACATTATGAATATACTTTTCCATATATTATTGCACAATGGTCTCCCAATTTCTTATTTTTGCCGTTCTACTGACGAACTGAAGCAGTGAAATGGACTTTACATGTACATATAAACATCAACACTGTAACTTACAGTGGAAAAACAAACATGAAAGACTGCAACAAGACTGATCTTGAATTGTGCATTGATTATTGTACTTAAAACATGCATTCATGTTAGATACTTCATTGAAAACCATTTTCATGTAACAAAATTTGTGACATAAAATCAGCCTGATTGCACACATAATTTCTAATATAATGCACTTTAGTTAATGTTTTATTACAACATATCCTACAATATTTGCATGGTAACAAATATTGCTAAAAATCTAAATACTTCCATTATACTGTATGTTTGTATGTGCTCAAATTTTTTGTCAAGTAATTGCTATGGTTCATTCTAATAGCTATCACTATTTGTTGCCATGGTTACATGTCACCACTTAGTTGCTCACAATATAATTAGTTCAATCATAAGTCAGATTTGAATTTCTGAGAACTCTAGATGATTTTGAAAAAATGGTCAATTTGAAGCAAGTCTTTGGACCCTGAGAAGGTCATTGAAGGTGAAATCTAAAATCTAAAGTCAGATTTGAACTTCTGAGAACTTGTAGATGATTTTGAAAACAATTGGTTAGGTTGAAGCAAGTTAAAAAAAAACTTTTTGACCTTGAGAAGGTCATTGAAGGTCAAATCTTTTTTGATGTTGAGAATGTCATTGAAGGTCAAATCTGTAGTCAGATTTGAGCTTTTAATAACTTGAAGATGATTTTGAAAAAATTGGTCAATTTGAAGCAAGTTGCAAAAATACTTTTTTGACTATTTTAACCTTTTTTGACCTTGAAAAGGCCATTGAAGGTCAAATCTTAAATGTAAAGTCTGATTTGGAAAAAAAGTTGAAGTCAGTCTTATTTGTTAAGTTATTGGAAGTTTTAAGAATTTTTTATAGATGCCAACCACCGCCCACCACCCACCGAATGCCAACCACCAACTGCCGCCACAAAAAACGGAGACCAAAACAATATGTTACCACTTCTTAGTGGTAACATAAAAATCAACATTTGTCAGAGGTTAAATGTCCTCAAAGTCATTATACTCGAGCAAAATAGAGCCTCGAAGTGCTCTCCTTAGTGATTTTTAAATTACCTCTTCTGCACTAAGGTTCCAATACATTACAATGATCAAGGCATTAATATAACATTTAAAATTGCAAGCTGCATCTGCGAAATTGTAACAATTACTACAGAAGATGATGTAAATAGAGGACTTGCTATTTAGATGTATAAATAGATGGCAGTGGTGATGCCGGTGGAGTCAAAACACCATTCATAATATGGAGACAACTGACAAAAGTCATTTAATTTCTTGATTTAACAAATATTTCAAACTGAATTATTTTAATTCCATTCAAATGCAACTAGATTGTTTTTTTTGACATGTGGATTATAATTTAATATTTGTGATGTTTGAAAGAGTAGATTTTTAACAATGTTGACGGACGGACGGACAGACAGACCAATGGACGGACGGACGGACCAACGGACGGACGCCTGGTCGATCCCATAGGCTCACTGTGTGAGCCAAAAATCCTGGCAAATGGTACACAGGAAAATAACTGCATATGAAAGAATAATATACAGAATACAAATATGTCATCAGAAAATATAAGTCCTCAATGGCTAAAAATGCAGATCTCCTAAACTTTTATAAAAATGAGATTTCAAGATACATAGTAAAGCCAAGAACAATGTCAAGCTTTAATCAAATAAAAAGGGTAGTTATAACAATTTTACAACTTCCGGATGGTGAGTACAAAATGACACTTGTTACACACAGTGAGTTCATCCATTTTAGTCTTTTTAAGTAAACCATGAGAAGAAAATGCTGAATTCAATCTTCTAGTCCTTCATACATTCACATCTAGTGGAACCTCGTTCCTTGTTAAATAACAGTAGATCATAAAGTTTATGTACAGAATGAGCAATCCCCCAAATACACCTATCAGTACCTGGAAATAAAGAACAATATGATGTAAACATACGCAGTAGTAACCTAACATAACACCTTATCCTAGAAATGATCTATCAATAAGGCAAATTCTTTTGTCAATGAGTTGAGGTGAGGAATAGGTGAGGCATAGATCAAAATATTGAGAAATACATCTAAACCCTACTGCACGAGGCAAACATGAACAGGGAGTCTTATACAGTACAGTGAATAAAGTAACATTAATGTCATCTAGATTCCAACATAAGTTGTCTATCCCTGCATTATGGCACTGCACTGCAAACATTTGAGCTGTTTGAATATGCAAATTGGAATGAAGGCCTGGTAATGAAGGCTAACGGGAAAGTGTCAAAAATAACCTGTGACGAAATAGGATCACACTTTTGAGGCAAATTAAAGCAATTACTAAATTAATCTGAAAAGCAACCAGGTATCTCAAGGGGGGGGGGGGAGTATCCCTGTAGTGATGTGAACGACCAAGGGTTTATCACAATGAGGAAATACATCATTTGAGAGATGGCGACATGGTGTTCTATTCAAACTTTTTACTAGGATGTTTTATTTCAATTGTCATAGGGAAAGATGGCAGTGCTGCATAGAAACATTTACAATACATCGAAAAGTTATGCATATAACTAAACATTTCAAAATTCTAAAATGGTAAAAGTTATTGTAGAATACATTGCATGCATTCTTTTACAAAGGTTTTTATATTTCATAAACTTAATATGTTCCTTTTGAAGCACAACATGTTTCAAAATATACATATACTGTATTTCTTAAACATTGAGATCTTGGATATTGCCCAGTTTGATAATCTATTTTTAGACTAGCTTGTTGTTCTGAATTTGAGATCAGCGAGGTGAGATCTCAACAAACTTTCTTAGGATCAATAAGGTGAGACCTCAATGATCTCTGATTCTTGGAACTGCTAGACCTATATGATCTCTGATTTTAATGACCTCTGATCTCGAGGTTAGGTATAAAAGCCAATGTTTCAAGAATTGCGCAGGTTTTTGAGAGGGAATTCTTATATTGAGTTTTGAAACAGTAAGCTATGTTGTAGAAATTGTAATTATTAAGAGATTGAAGAAATAAAATATACTTAAATACGCTTCTGAAGAGAAAGTATTTTGTGTTTGAATCAAACATTTAAAAATATGTAACACTATGCATAAGGTTCTATGTTGATTCTATGATGTTAAAATTAAATTCATAGAATGACAAAATAATATGTCACAAGAGTTATTTAATTGGGCATCTCTTCAAAACAATAAAAAAATCGTAGTCTTGCTTCAAGATATTCTAACATCCTCATACACCTCACCAGCTGTAGGTAGATAACGGGGTGAATCCAGAGACATAACTTACCATATCACATGTTTTAAGGGAACTAGATGCTACACACTTATAAAATCATTAACCTGTTTAACTCTCATGAATCAAATCAACCTTCTCAAATCAAAGATTTGGGGAAAGGACTTTAAATATCTTATATTTTTTTGCACTCAATTGCCAATTTCCATTATTTAGTGTGTAACTCAGAGGCATGTTAATATATGCATGACATTTTTTGATTTAAGTACAATCCAGAATATTCTTATCAAGGTAATCAACTGAGCGCTTACTACATTACGTAAAACCTGTCTTAATGAACACCTCTCTCTATTGAACACTTGTCTCTAGTGAACACCCTTCCTCCGCTTATACTCTGCTGACTTCTGTATAAATTACCCTCTCTGTAGAGAACACATACCAACATTGAACATTTTTTCTCAGCAAAAAATGTTCAATATGTACAGGTTTTACTGTACTATGGAGGCTCATGCAAACCCTCCTTATGCAAACCCCCTTACCCTTTATCACCCAGGATTTCATTCCTTTCTTCCTGTAAGATTTCAAGTTGCATAATCTTGGTTGACATTGCCAAAAATTGATATGATTGGGGAAGATTCCCAATAATTTTATGCTACATTGAAAAATTATAGGACCCTCCCAGAGATACCTCTTTAATATTAAAAGCCACCTGATGAAAGCTGGCTATAGACCTGTAGAGTGCATTTAAAACAAGGAAGGATTATGCCTCTCTTGCAAAAATAGATAAGGGCGGTACTTCTATAGACTAATATATAGATGAGTAAATACATGTGAAATTACAAATGAATATTTTTTATCTATTATAATACAATGGACTACATTTAAATGTCATTGTCATGTCTAAACTGTTTGACTTAGTATAAAAACAGAAAAGTGTTAATATATATCGTGACTGCATATTTGAATTAAACAAGGTGATCCCATTAATACAAATTTCATCATTTATTTTATATATGATTAATGTATATAATGTGCAGGTTCTATATCATATGTTATAGAGGATTTTAGTTTCTTGTAATTTTGCAGCAATATTCAAATTCAAAGAAGAAAAGATGAGAAATGGAGAAAAATTGAAAACACCATTCCGATTACAAGCATACATTCATTTACAAGTGTATATCTGCATCTTTAAGCTTTCAAAGGAAGCAATCAAAGTGTGACAAACAAATAATTCCTCGAGGGCATGAAACCATGAAACAGTCATGAAAATGATGAATGGTGATCATTGTAACAAAATGGCAAGAAAATTTTAACAAGGAAGTAATCATTATATCTACATTTGAAAGGAGAATATGAATTCAATTTTACAAGCCTGATTGCCCTGGGCCCCAACATTAATATTGGTCTTCATATTTGTCACGTTTCTGTCTAGTCTTTAAAAGAGAAAGGGGAAAAATGAGACAGAAGAAACCATAGAAAGCATGGAAAGGAGTGTAGGAAAACGTAATCCCCCAGCTAAAAAATGATTTAACACATGATAAGAATTAGTAAATTTTATCATTTGAATTTTATTAATTTACCCATAATTAACAAAATAGGTAATATTCCTGGGGATATTTGCACATCATTTTGGGAGATAAATATTTCAAATAATTTGCAAAAACCACACCCCTTTGTCTTGTTCTTTCCAAAGTGGCCTCTTACATGAAAGAGGAGGTCTGGTAAACTTAAGAATACAGGATTAAAATGTTGAAATGAAATATATCTTTTAATGACTCCTAAACATGTCAGTGTCTCCGACATGGGGGTCACTACACAGTTTTTGTTCTGTTTTTTACATGTTTTTTTTAATACAAGTATATAATACAGTCATCGGTTATATATAAAAAAGTATAAAAAATAGTTACACCAAGATGTTATGAACATAATGATATAAATATCATGGCCAAACAAGAATTATTTTTGTAAGGGTGTTCTACTGACCTTTATATGGGTATGATATCTTTGCCAAACATCTTGAATGTAGACATTGTAGTATGATAAAATACAAGGTAACCAGGATTCTTGTTCATTCATTTCAGAGCACCTGGAAAATAATAAATCCACAGGGTAACACAAAATTCTTGTATGGGATTGCAACATATGACCTCATTCTTGTTCATCCTAGACCCAATAGGAGAAACAAAATTATTGAAAAGTGGATCAATAAAACAATTTAAGAAGTGTCGTCTTTTCAAAACTTGAGGTTGAATGGGGTTTGTTTCTTTCTGTATGTTTTAGTTGATCATGTATACAGGTGTAACATTGAAATTGTTGTCTCAATATCTTTTGAAGAAAAATGACCTTGACCAATGACACACAATTTAAATTACAAAATTAATTAAAAAATAATGTGAGGGACAAGCTCATTCTAAATTACAATGTACAGGATGTCCGTAAGAAAGTTGAACTCAGTCAATTTTGCATATATTGCCCTGAAATTTCAGAATAATTTAGTTCATTCAATGTGAAGTTTGATAATAATTAATCTGCCAATTGACGTCAAAAACTAAAGTTCCTTACAAAACATGCCCCAAATGTGCACCCCTCCTCTCCATGCTCAATTCAATCTGGAGAGCAAAGTTATTGATTATCCTCCTACACACATTTCTTTTTGAATAAACAAATTTATTCCAAGAACAGCTACTACTGGGGCTAACATCCTCCTGATGAAGTGTTGCAGCATCCATTGCATTCTGAACAATGTACTGCCTGGGTGGCATTGAGTAAACATGGAATCATCAGTCCTTTTTGGTTTGAAGATGACTGGAGACATGCTATCACCGATTTATTCAACTTTCTTACGGTTGTGTTTTTTGGACACCCTGTACATGTACATTGAGCCAATAATTGAAAGCTCTCCAAAATGCATCCTAAAACCTGACTACATCGGACCATAAAAATAATTCTGTATCTAGATAAAAAGGTTGTGTGTTTATGCTAAAATTTTGAACATAATATGTATGTGAATGGTTTCTATGTGAGATATTTTTTACCTGGTGAATAACTCCATTAAGAGTGTGACATTGTCATATTGCATATGTACAGGAATGTTTAATCTTCGCAGAATGTGTTGTGGAATAACCTCCCCTCCTTCTACCATTCTAGCTATGTTGTATAATCCCTGCAAACAAAAATCAAGCTGCTAATCTAGGTCAACTGCAAAGGTAATAAAAAGTTACAAATAGATGGATAAGTACAAGATCATCATAAAATTATTGTGATGAAAGTTACATCCCAGGAGTGTAGCCTGTGGTTGCAATCGCCAAAAGAATTTCGGTTTCAGTCATGGGGGAGGGGGTTCGAACTTTGCAAAAGCGAGCCAAAAAAAATCTGTTTTTAATTTTACAAAAACTGAAGCAACTTCCTTCAAAATTGAGCTAGAAGCTTCAAATAAAAAGCATTTATCTTTATTGGTTATTTAATCGTTATTGCCTATGACTCTGCATCTACATGTAGTATTCACGCTTCGTATTTGAGGTACATTTCAATAGGCTCACCAGTTGAGCGCAGCTAATAACATTAAATATCAAGATTTAGTTTCTATTTTCTGTATCCCAGCATATACACAAACAATTTATTGAGTTGTATTTCTATATTGATGGGGTTGAATGGATGAAAAAGAAGAAATGAATTCAAAAAGTTTCAAAAATTGACCTAGCTGAACCATGGGCTTTCAAGACTCTTGAAGCCCATGTCTGAACTAATTAAGGCACCATTTACTATAAATACTATAGTAATACAGATCACTAATATACACAGCTTCTCCACAAGAACAGGCAATAAGTAGAGAGATCCAGTGCAACACTTGTTTTCATTACTTAGCCATAATCATTAAATGATTACCTCAGCATTTTTCTTCTCTGTGGCTAACGTATACATATTTACAGCTGCAGATATATTTTTTGCACCCCCATGACCATACCATTGGTAGTCCCCCATCTTTAACAAGGCTGAAACACATGAAAAAACATTATTAATATAGGGGTGATTACAGGCCCGTAGCCAGGATTTGCCAAGGGGGGGGGGGGGGTTCAGTTTTCAAAAATTTCCAGGGGGGGTTCACATTTGACAATTTTGGCCCAAATATGGCTAAAATCACTTGAAAAGTGCTCAAAATGGTGAAAAACTGCATGATTTTGAAAGAATTTTTGGCCAGAGGGGGGGGGGGGTTCGCCCGAACCCTGCGAACCCCCCCTGGCTACGGGCCTGGGTGAATCATATAAAATTAAAGTATACTCAACATCCCATTTGACATATGACCCAGGCGCTCGATTTTCGTACGATCGTAACTTACGATTCCGAGAAATCTATGTGTCTCTGTTTTAAGGAACAATGACTTGCAACCAAATCGTAAGTTACGACGGTTTCAAAAACGGACCCCAGTATGATGCAAAATAGTCTGGAAAAAAGAAGTCATTTATTGTAAAATAGGCCAACATTTAGAGAGATATTCATTTTTTTAAATTTATTTATTTGCTAAAACACTTTTAGAACAGTGGCACATACAACCTTGTAGTGCAGCATTTATACAGTTACATCTATGTAGTAAAACATTCATATTAAATAATATACATGCATATTAAAAGGTGATTAAAAATGTATTATAGCTAGGATCTTAAATAGCAGATTTTAATATATGGGCCAAATGTTATAATAGGGAATAGAATTACCATCATTCAACTCCAGTTTCACTGTTGCAATTGAAAGAACGTCTGAATTAATACTTCTATTTAATGTTGAAGAGGTTACATGCCCATGTAATAATTGGCCACTTATCCCCTGTTATAATTAGAGACAATAAAAGGCCCCTATTGATGTCACAGTCTGCCAAACACCTTGGCTTAACAAGGAAACTAGAGATAATTAAATCGTTACAAAAACTCCTGCTATCTTAAAAAATGTCCTTGATGTACCGTTAAGGAGCAAATTATGAATGGACACACAGGTACAAAATACTGGCAGATGGTCTAGGTTCAAAGAGCACTTGCGTCTCCATGGTAGCCCATATTTAGGAATGCTACGGAAAAATGATTCCTTTTAGCGAGAGTGATGGAATGTCACCCTTTGTCCATTAATTCCATTGACCCTGGGGTGCTCATTGTTAAAGAAAGGGGAATTAATAACAATTATTTTTGGAAAATTAGATGCGGAATTTTTAAAATAAGGGGAGTGCTCAAATTCAATAAAAAAAATACAATAAACAAATAATAAATTGGGCAGCGATCATAAAATAATATAAAAACAATACTATAAACCTTGATAATATTCTTATTTCACTATCCTGAATTAAAGAAAGCTGTGAAAACATAATTGTATATATGCTGTCAAATAGTATTGCATGCAGTTGCATTGGCTCAATTATAACATAAATTCAAATACCATGCAATCTTTTTTTGTTGAATCAGTGAGAAAAATATTCAGAAGTATTCCAGGAACCTCCCAGATTTCAGTATGCATTTTGTTATTCTATCTTAAATTTTACAATTTCAAAGAAAGACAAGTGCTTAATTTTAGCATACACAGGGGATGGTACTTAAAATAAATCATTTATGAATATAAATAAATGAAGATTATGTTTATTAGTAAAAAACACATTTTAGAGTGTGTTTATCTAATGTTGAATTTTGATTGAATCAGAATAAATTTTATTAATATTGATTTGCTGACATGATCCCTCATGCTCAACAACTATAAGAATCTTCAACACGAACAACATATTTCTTTCACGATTTTGTTTGATGGCCTACTATTGTTTTGATTTAGCAATAGCATGTTAATGGTTAAACTTCTCCAGGTGGAAGAAAAGATATCATTGGCACGCTCTTTCACCTTTTCATGGGCCAAATTTGCAGGGAAATAATATCATGTTTATGTTTTCAATAGCAAAATAAAATACAGAAGAGTGATATATGCAAGATAAAAGGTAATTGTGCATGTAAAAACCCTCTTGTTCATATAAATATTTCAGAACATCAAATACTTCACTTAAGTTTTAGAGAGAAATGGCGTGAAATGGCATTTGAACGAATGCATCTTAGGCAAGGGAAATGTCTTACTTCCCCTTTTATTGAGATGGAAATTAAAGCTAATTTGTACATCTAGGAGTTTGGCACCAGAAAATGCCCTAAGAAAATATGCCCCAACTATCTATAGTTATATTTTGCTGATATACATATGACTGAAATGTACAAATAAATTTTCTAAATTTACTTGAAAATTTCACATTTCAATATTAACTGTAATTGATTTCAACTGTCAACTCCAGCATTTTTACCATTTAAAAGAAACATTATAATTTTAAATTCAATTTTATTCAAGGGAATTTTAGGCATAAACATTACCCCAGGCATTTGATACTAATGCATTTTTTTACAAATGATCTTTGTTATCACGTTTAACAGTCACTTCATAACTTATAAACTATATTTGGGTAGCACAGGAATATGTAAATGAAAAAATTTGTGAGTATCATAAATCCTGTTAAGTGACAATATTGTGTGTATTGAGGGGGTTAAATTGTAATTTTTGGCAGGTGAAATATGGTTATTGCCCTAATCATGATTGAATCATCACGACTATGTGAGTACAGACAAAGGCAAACTCTTGCTTAGTTCTTAGAGTACATAAGCAGGAGGTTAAAAGTACAATCAATTGGACCAACCAACATGTTGACCCTGACACACCATGTAAAGTAGTTACATTGTCAAAGCATCATGAATGGAAACAGAGAGAACATTTTCATATCACTTACTTCTGTAATACAGTACATTTTGCTTCTGTAATATAAGATAAGTGTTCCTCACAGGATTTTTTCTCAAGTGGGTGCAAAATTCTCATTTTCAGACCAAAATATGCCAATTTTTCATGATTTTTATAATTTTCAAGTGGCTGTAAATGGATTTTCAGGTGGGTGCACGCCTGTTTTTAAAATCTCAGGTGGGTGCTGCGCCTACTTGCTTTAACAAAACCAACACCGAATATCAATTCATAAATTCCAATTCACAGCTCAAAACCTTCAAATTAAATAAATCCCCGAATAAATCATATTGAAACCCATGAACCATCTCAAATGAGCTAATAACCAGAACAACGGCAACACCAAAGAGTAGCGAATCCCATCGAACAGAAATGGCTGGCATTTTTACAAACGAATAGCAAATATCATAAAACAACACACCAGAAAGGCCACCATTTTCAAAATGGTTGCTCACTAGCCAAGTTGTCATCAGAAGAAATAATATGCTTTTAAGTAGCCACCTCTAAAATTTTTGAAAAATCGCACACGTACTTGTAAAAACACGTACTTCTACCAAAAGTGTCATAGGACAGTGTGCCATGCTCATAGTATTCACATACCAAATATGAACAAAATCGCTCCACTACTTTTCGAGTTATAGTAAAATACGTAAAATGGCGGCCATTTTTCAATGTGCCATGCTTATAGTATTCACATAGGACAGTGTGCCATGCTTATAGTATTCACATACCAAATATGAACAAAATCGCTCCACTACTTTTCGAGTTATAGTAAAATATGTTAAAATGGCGGCCATTTTTCAAATTTTTTTTCAAAATGGCCGCCTTCTACCAAAAGTGTCATAGGACAGTGTGCCATGCTTATAGTATTCACATACCAAATATGAACAAAATAGCTCCACTACTTTTCGAGTTATAGTAAAATACGTTAAAATGGCGGCCATTTTTCAAAATGGCCGCCTTCTACCAAAAGTGTCATTAGACAGTGTGCAATGCTTATAGTATTCACATACCAAATATGAACAAAATCGCTCCACTATTTTTTGAGTTACAGCAAAATTCGTAAAATGACGAGTAAAGGCCGCCATTTTTCAAGATGGCTGCCATGTGCTTCTTTAATATCTACATTTGTAGCATTATTAATGTCCTTTATAATTATTTCACATTTAAAACATATTGCTATTACAGTTTTACATATTGCACCTAAATTACTGTAAAATCGGCACTAAAATGGCCACCATTTTGAAATGAGCGGCCATTTTGAAAATTGGCTTTCGAGCAGAACTTCTACCCCCATAGGGTATATGTGTACAAAATATGAACAAAATCGGGCCAACGGTATTTGAGTTATTGCCCGGATGGACAGACGGACGGACGGACGGATGTACGTCCGGACGTACGTACGTACGGACGGACGGACGGAGGCGTTCCCTATATCCCTCCGAACTTCGTTCGATGGGATAAAAATGGCAAGGCCTACTGTTGAACAATCAATCAAAAGGTATATATTCCATTGAAACTTTTTTGCATTACTTGCACAATCGTAACAATTTCAAAGAAACCTATTTTTTATGTTTTCAAGGAAGTAGTCGGTTGAAATTGATTAGTCTGGTGTTTTATGACTTCCATGTTTCTATGAAATAACTTGTTAGCGAACTGTTACCCACCAATTAGAGATGACTTATTTTAAGAATTATTCCAGAAAGATTTAACAGGAAGTCCAAAACAACACATGGAGAACATGTTTTGTGATGTCTAGGTCATATATTATGTAAAGCAATGACACTTTTCTCAGCTTAATGTGACAAGCAGGGCTAAACTTATCAGTTTGTTCAAATATTTTTGCATTTTATGATTTAATTTTCAATTTGACATATTCACATGCTACCCATTGGAGATATATGAACAAGCTAATGCATGTACCATACATGTCAAACCTGTACATAGTGAACACCTATGGAGCCACAAAAATTGTTCACTGTAGGTAGGTGTTCACTATATAGAGGGGATTTTAAAGTCAATGTAGAATGTGTTTTGAAATGGTCCTCACAAAACACAGGTGTTCTTGAGAGAGAGGTGTTCACTTAAAGACAAGTGTTACTCTCTGTCTATAATTGATACTTTACATTTGTAGCCAGCAAGTGTCAAGGGGGTGCAAATTATTGTGAGCGAAGGGAGCCCCTAACAATTACATTGTAAATGGTGCTTTCTAAGCATTTCAAACTTTAATTTGTAAAAAAATGTTTTTTCTTTTTTTGTGGGGGTGGGGCAGGGATCGTACCCCCTGGCTATGCCCATGCTATTTTCAAAACGAATTGTCATATCTACTTCTATTTGCAGTTATTCTCATCTGACATGGTAGCCCAGTGAAAATCAGTTAACAGGAGGTTGACAGTTAATTGAGAACCAGTATCCTTACAATGAGCTGTTGTATATAAATACAAATGCACGACTTCAGCTCATCATTATTTATGTATTGTCAAGGAGTAAAGGTAGTCTCACACAATTATAGGAAGCTTCTCTGCATGAATTAATTACAATAGATAACATTTTTATAGCATCAAAGGAGAGAGTGAAAGTAAATGTGACCAAGTATTTGAAAAGGAAGATAAACATCAACAACAGGACAGCTTTTATTGACTCAGTATTTTAGAGAAAAATACAAAACATTGACTTTGGACAAACAAAGTTCCATTTGTTTTTGAAGTCCGGAACAAAACAGAACAAAACAACAATTAAAACCACAGAGGTTGATAGTGTTTATCACACGGGATTATCATATCAAATAACAATAACATAATCTGTTCCATTAGTATGTATTGTGACAAAATGAAGATGTTGTTCTTTGCTGCCATTGCACTATGTGTGTTATTGAACTATACAACAGCTGATAATAATAGCAACTGCACAGTCAGTGGATCAGGTGTACTGAAAATAAGTTGCCAAAATGGAGCCGATATAAACAATATTGAAATTGCAACAATTGACACGGCACATGTGCACACCCTTGATATGACACATAACTATCTAACCAACATTCCTAGGTGGATATGTGAATTCAAGAACTTAGTCAAACTGGATCTATCCCATAATACGATCAAGGAGATCCCACATGATATATTCCAATGTGGGTCATTTCCAAACTTTCCAACTATGCAAATTATTGATTTGAGCTTCAACAAGATAAGGAGGATTCCATCTGGAGTTTTCGACAATTTAGTGATCAATGCACTAAACATTAATAACAATGACATAGAAATGATCGAACACGGAGTGTTCTCGAAGGAACACAACTTCTACCATATAAATTGTAGCTACAATCAACTCACATCGCTCGATTCAATATTTCTACAGCTTCTTGCCCAGGACCCCCCTTGGGAAAATGCGATTTACAAACGCTTTGACTTTTCACATAATGAAATCTACAAATTTCATTATACAGGATTTGAACTGGATTTCAGCAAAGTATACAACTTTCACTTTAACCTACAGTACAACAAGTTCAAATACATTAACCTTGACTTGTTCAGGCCTTTCAACATTCATGACTTAAATGATTTGATCACTTTGTTTAGCATAAATGGATTCTTGTATATTGACTTTTCAAACAATCCAATCACGTGTGATTGTAATATGTACGAAACCAAAACAATGCTGATGACAATGCTTTCGTTTCCATATCTCCCAGAAATATTCAGGGACTGGGCTGTGCAATCAACTGTTTGTATGTACCCTGCTGATGTCAGAGGAAAACCTCTCTCAAAATTAGATGACACTCAGTTGATATGTAACATTACAGAAAAATGCCCAGAAAAATGTACCTGTATTCGTAAACCAGATATGAAACGCTTAGAAGTTAACTGTAGTAGCCAGAGTCTTGAGGAATTACCGAACAGTCTTCCATTAATTCAAAATGACAATAGCGAGTTGATCAACCTGGATATGTCAGGTAATTTACTCAGCGAAATAAAAAATCGGAGCTATCTACCTAATCTTGGGACATTTGATGTAAGTAGTAACAGATTGAATACAATTGAAGATGAAGCCTTGGACAATTTAAATGCCATCCAGAAATGGTACCTCCATGATAATCAATTTTCAACACTCCCGAGCAAAATGAAAGATATGCCTTTCCCAAATCTTTCAAAATTGACATTACACGGAAATCAGTTGGTATGTGACTGCTCAACAGTGTGGCTGAAACCTTGGCTCTGGGCCTTAACAGAACACAAGCGCTTGCAATACCCAAGAATGATAACATGTGAGACAGGGGACATAATTATGGAGTACGATTTTAATGAAGATCTCTGTAATATAAACTGGGGACTTGTTGTGGGACTCCCTATGCTATTTCTGACTCTTGTTGCCATTGGTCTCATTACATTGTATTGCTTCAGAAATGTTATTGTGTTGTTCATCAGAAAAAGGCGCGAATACAAAGAAATTCCAGAAGGAAAAGAATATGATGTTTTTGTCGGTTATGTAACTCAAGATGTTATGTGGATCCGAAATGTTCTTATACCCCTTCTGGAGCCAAAATACAAACTCTGTATACATAACAGGGATTTTGAAGTAGGAAAACCAATAGTGGACAATATTGCGAACAGTATTGAGAAAAGTCAACGATCAATAATGGTCCTTTCACCTCGATTCTTGGAGAGTGGATGGTGCAAGGAAGAGTTTCTGATTGCGCATAGACAATACATGTTGAATCCCAGCCAGGTGTTGATCCCTATACTGCTACCCGACTTTGACACAACCCAAGAAATGCCAAGCCATGTGAAATGCTATTTGCAGGCTCACACTTACCTGAAATGTGATGATCCGTGGTTTGATAAGAAGATCAAAGACCAAATGCCAAAAACTAGTATTACTGAATATAAAGAGGAGATGAACAATCAAAGACATCTTGCAGTCAAGATTGACAATAATGATGACATCAAAGAGCTAAATGATGCCATCCCTGATGCCATACGTGTGTCAACCATATCAAATGGCACAGTTATACCAAACATTCTGAATGGTCATATTCCAAATGAAAAGCCACAGAATGGACATGTAGAAAATGGACACATCAAGCATATCGAAGGTGCTCCAAATGGACAAATCAATGAAGAGAATATCAAAAATAATCGGGAAAATATCCGATATGAAAATGTTGTGTATGAGATAGATCCAGAAGACATTAATGTTGTATGAAATGTGGTATTGTAAAATATGTTAACTGATTGAGTTTGACAGTTTTTACATGACATTTACTTTTAAATATCATCAGTATGCACACATTTCAAGTATACAATATATGCCCGTGGCGTAACCAGGTTTTGCCAAGATGGGGGGGGGGGGGGAGAATGGTGGAATACTGCATGATTTTGAAAGATTTTTTGGCAAGGGGGCCTGGCTATAGGCCTGCAATATACAATACACAAAGTCCCATGGTATTTTAATATAATAAGTCTGAGGTCCTTTTGTGAACATTTCATTTTTGGTGAATCAATATTTCCTTTCTTTAAAAATACCCATTAGTGTTCGTGTTAAAGTTCTTCCAAACACACACCAGATAAAAATAAAGTCCCACTCAGCCAAGCTGTGTGAAACTAGCCACATGTATAAGGACACTTTAAAATTTAATAAAAACAATTCTAAAATTAGTTTTTGTCCAAATGTATATTTTGATACTATTTTGGACAGTGCTCAAGATAAATGTAACACAATAATACATTGACCAACTGTCACTTTAGTGAGATAAAAATAATGGATATGTTGAAATCACTCCAAAAATTACACCCAACCCAAATAATCAAAAATAAACAAACAGCATTTGATCTCAATTAGAATTAGTTATGCTTTGAATACTTTCATTTTTTTCATATTCTGTGGTGATTCAAATACCAAAAATACCAGGTAATCTGGCTATATTGTAGAATGGGAAACCTAGCAGTGAATCATTTTATTCTGGGAATCCCAAAAATGTTGAAACAAATATACAGTAAAACCTGTATATATTGAACATTTCTCGCAGAGAAAAAATGTGTTCACTTTCATACTTGTTTCTAACATTTTAGGTGTTTTCCTTTGATATCTAAAACATCATTAACATATATTCATAATGTGTATATTTGTATTGTAAATAGAATAGCTGAGATACAAAATATGAGCAACACCATGTAAATATTTATTTTCAATAAACCATTGTTTTTTGTCAATATATCATATTTATGTAATATCTCATTGGCGAGACTGCCAAGATCCCAGAATAGCCCAAATGCACCTTCCCAAATATGTTTGCCCAAAAGATGACTGATATACAGTTAAACATGTATATTGTTTCAACCTTAGTCCACCCATGTGTACATTCTTTTCATCTCAAGTAACACCAGATCATTTTTCTATCTTTCCAATATCATTCCCTGTGGCCTTTCCTCTCACTCCATGACAAGTAAACATGTACCAGGTATGTCACCGTTTTCTTTTTGAGATGAAACACTTACCTTTAAATAAACAATATGAAGGATGAAATAAGATAATATCTGCAATTTTGATTGTCTGATATAACAGCATCTACTTTTATACTTATCTCAATAGATTGAAACATATATGAATAACCTTTATTGACTTTTTACCTCAAATTGTACTGTGATAGTTTATTAAAAAATTAGGTAGGGTTGTAAATATAATGGTCTAAAAATAGGAATCATTGAAAATGAAGGACACCTTTCCCCTTGGCATTATGACTTACTGTCAACTTTTCTCTGTATTTGGCTTACAATGGTTGGTGTGTCAATTCATGCATCATCATGTTAATGAGATTGTATACAAATAATAGAATATATCATAACATTAGTTTTAGTAACTTTTAAACTGAAGAGGCAAGTGATCACCACATATGGGCAATCCCATGTCAGAGTAGGATTGACTTTTAGTCTCTGGGGGGGGGGGGGTAACTAGACTAGAATAGGATGTACAGTAATTTGAACTTCCACTTATTAGGAATTATAAACAGCCTGATTTTTGTAGTTCAGACTGCCTTTAAGTGAAATAAAACAACAATAAAAACAGATGACCAAGAAGGAGAACATGCTGTCTGACATGTAGGAGAATATAAACAAATTACAAAGGTCAATGATTCAAAAATGTGAAATGTTTTTATTAAACTTAAGATTTTCAAACATCCATAGTACATGACCACTCAGTGTGCACAATAATATGGCGATAACGCCAAAGAAAATGACCATATATAGAAAATCATCCTTATTCTGATGACAAACTCTGATTAGCTCGGTGAGTTCAGATATTCATTGAAAACTGGAAGCATGAAGACGAAGCTCTCTTTTGAGAAGCAAAGTCAAATGAATCAAAGGGTACTGATTCATGTGATAGTAGAGATAACAATCACTTTTATGTACAGCAATAATTTTAGATTTTCAAATTCAATAGTACACTTTCTGTTTGTTTGACTTTGCTTCTTAAAAGAGAGCTTCGTTACTTTTAGCTACATTCAGGGTAATTACTTATATAATATTAATCATGAGAGCAATGGGCAACATTAAAATATAAGCAATGTATCTCTGGTGATTTGTGTGATGTTTTATGTAATATAAAGGCTGCCAATTTATAATTATGTTACATAATCTTATCTAGTACATGAACATGAACAAAGCAGTCTGGCCAAAAATATTCATATTGATATATCAAAGTAAATTAAAATAATGACAATACACGAAACCAACAATTGGATAAACAATTAAAATGTATGAGTTATGAGTAAAATCATCTCAATATATTTTTGATTTTCTCAAATCCATTATATACATGTAGTGAGTATCATGATAATCTTAACAATTGATTTACCAGAAAAACACAAACACTTAACCTCTTGACTACCCAGAATGACGAGATTTCTCGTCACCTCAGAAATGACCTTGAAACCCAGAGGGACGAGAAAATCCGTCACAAAATTTTTCACAAAAATTGCTCTTATTTGAACAATTTTTATCCAATTTACACAAAAATTGTTTTAAAACGTGTAGAAATGATCTCTGCTATCTACTTTGACTAAGTTGAGCATCTTAAGTTGTATAGGTATGTAGTAAACAGTGGTGGATCCAGGAACCAACAGGGGGGGGCCCAAATTTGAGGTCAGGGAAAAAAATTTTGGGCCCCTAAAACCAAAAAGTGGGCCCAAATTTTGAAAATTTCAGGCCCATTTTCTTCAAAATTTGGCCTAAAATTAAAAAGTAAGGCCTTAGAAGGCCCAATAATGACCAAAAGGCCCACTTTTTGGGGCCTTAAGGCCTTTTTTGCCCCAACTTTTTTTTTCTGGGCCGTAGGGGGGGGGGGGCCTGGGCCCCATGGGCCCCCCTTCCCCCGATCCGCCATAGGTAAATGTCAAAAGGTGGCAAAAATGAAAAAATTCTCTGGTTTCAACCAATTTTAGAGCCTGGGATTCAAGAGGTTAAAACACTTGATACTCTGCCAAATTATATCAACTGCATACAACAAGATTTACTATGCCAAAGGCATTTGCAGTAACTGGATGACGTCAAGTCAAAAAATGTAGTTGAATATGCCACATGTACTTGACATGATACATCTCAACAAAACAGTACATGTGGTTATATTACAGTGAAAGAAACACTTAATACATTTATGCTCAATATTTAAAGGACCTGCACATCAATCTTGAGTGAACACAAGAAGTAGTGATATATCAGTGTAAGCAATCAGAACTAGTACAAACTTCAAAGTGACCATGTCAGACTGCATGTATATAATGAAATTAGAAAACAGTACCATATATTTGATCAGTACCAAGAAATTTGATAAAGTTATTTCAAATGGTAATGACTAGGAGCAATGCCGAGACTGAAGAAATCCACAAAGTAATCAGGAAGTTGCAAGCAGCACTTGAACAAATAGTACCAAGTGGTTTAAAATAGTACCAATAAATGATTAGTTCCAAATGATTTACAACAGTGGAAAGGACACAGGATGGCACTATACAGGCTACTTTTTGTTATTTTGATGACATTCCATGTTGTCATGGTTACTAAATATTGTGACAATCCATGTCAATGCAGATTTCAACTCTATGACAGTTCTTGGAAAGAATGTGACAACAATGTAACAATTCTACCATATATGGTCAAACGCATGGAGTATAATCATGGCAATCTTACAGTTTTGCCAAAAGATTTGTGCCAATATTTTCGCCTAAGAGAACTTGATGTCAGTTATAACAACATTCATATTATCATGAATAATTCTCTAACATGCCTTGAATCATTGCAGTATTTAAATATGGCCTATAATAACCTAAAAATTCTACCAGGTGAATTTCTAAAAAGACTGAATTATCTCGAGGAGGTTAATCTCGCTTATAATGACATACATCACATAGAGCGGGGTGCTTTCAGCAAGGAAAACAACAACAACATCATAAAACTTAACATAAGTCATAATGACCTAGTGGAAGTCGATGCAGTATTCCTAGAATTAATCCAAGTTCTACGTGCTCAATATAAGGAATATGATTTTTCTTACAACAGTATAAGCAAAATCACAAATATTGACAAAAAGATGTTGACTTTCCACGAAGGAAACTATTACACATTTTATCTGAGACATAATAACTTTAGCTCCTTTGGTATTCAAGAACTGTCCAATATCAACATCAACAATGTGAAGGACCTTTTTACATTGTTTAACACTAATGGATTTCAGGATATCAATATTATGCACAACCCACTGGTTTGTGATTGTAATATGTACGAGACATTCACAGTTGTTAAAAACTTAAAAATTGCCAATTCGGGTCCATTCATAAGAGTAGAAAGAACACTTAAGTGGATCTCAGACAACTTCAAATGTAAATTTCCAGGGTCAGATATACTACATAATGTCACTGATCTGTCGGAAAATGATTTCCAATGTAAACTCACAGAAGATTGTCACAAAGCATGTGAATGTCACTATATTCCACATGAATCAAGTCTGTATGTGGATTGTATGAACAAAGATCTTCATGAACTTCCACAAACCATACCACCTTCTTCACAAGAGACATCTATTGTACTAAATGTGAGTTATAATCACATACAAACATTGCCAAAAAGGAACTACATCAGCAAAATAAAAGTTTTAGATCTGAGTCATAATGACCTAAATGTCATTGAAATCACCAATATCAATAATTTCAATCAAATTTCCGAGCTTCTTTTACAACACAACAAGTTATCTTCATTACCTAGCAAATGGGAATACATGACTGTGCCATCTTTAAACAAATTCTGTCTCCATGGTAACCCTTTCAAATGTGATTGCTCAAGCTTGTGGATGGAAGAATGGATTTTACAATTCACTGATCAGAATTCCATGGATTCTTGTGGGAATAATATTGTCTGTAAAGATGGATCACCCATAACCAATCAAGGAATAAGCAAAACAGTCTGCTTAATAGACTGGAAACTATTCGTAGGGATGTGTTGCCTCGTTGTCTTAGTAACAGTTACTGCAATCATCACCTTATGCTATTTCAAACCTGTGATCATTTTATTGATCAGAAAAAAGAAATCATACACAGTAGATATAGGGGCAAAAAACAGTGATGCTTTTGTATGTTTTGACATGAATGACTTTGAATGGGTGGATGAGCATATAATTAAGCAACTGGAACCAAAATTCAAACTATGTATTCCAGAAAGAGACTTCATGGCAGGTGAATATATTTTTTCTATAATATAGGGATTGTGACATATATTTAATTTTGTTATAATCTTTGAAATATATTAGGTTATTATTTGTTATATAACAGGGGCGTAGCCAGCTTTCAGTCAGGGGGAGTGATCGCCAAAAGAATTCCGCCTTCAAAATTGAGCTAGGAGCTTCAAATAAAAACCATTTTCAAGCTCTTTTCTCGTTCTATCTACTGGTTGTATTTTTATTGGTTATGGGGGGGGGGGGGTTAGGTCGCACCCATCACACCCCCTGGCTACGCCTATGTATAATATGTAGAGAATGTATCTCCAAAAACTAACCCAATTTTAGTTGTTGAAACATTGTTTTAAGTAGAACTATGAATATACAATAGAGCTAAAAAGCAGCATTACAAACATTTGTAAAATTACTCTGAAATGCCAGAGGGTGGTAATGGGAGTCAAAAAGAGTGAAAACAAATGACAGTCAGGGTTCAGGTAAATCTTCATGATAACAATTTCATGATAACGATTACCCATACCTAAAAAAATGGGTAATAGAATTTCATGTGTATATTTATGTTATTTTTTTGTTGTTATCTGTTATGACAGAATGCAAAGTTGAAAATTTAATATTTAATTTCATATATATTTCAGGAGACATCTTGGTGGATGTAATCACAGAAAACATCGAACAGGCACAAAGGACAATCATGATTCTGTCTCGCCATTTCCTCGAAAGCTTGGATTGTGTGAACCAGTTCAAGTTGGCTCACAGACAGTACATGCTTCATCCAGATCAAATGCTAATTCCCATTCTGATGGATGATTTCCCTCTAAATGGAACATTACCCAAATTTATGTCATGCTACCTACAGGCGCATACATATTTGGAAGGTTCAGATGCCTGGTTTAAAAAGAAGTTAGACTTGCAGATGCCAAAGATGAGCATAAATGAAAGAGCTAATGTTGATAAAGTTCTCCAACAAGTTTAATACCACAACATTAAGGTATTAATATTAAGATGCATTCATTTATTTTCAATAATACTTGCCAATAGGTCATGAATCTTTATAAACTGGTCTCAGTTTAGACTGTGCATCATAAATGTATACAAGTCCAAACAGCATCCACAAAAGTTGAAGACTATAATAACAATATGTCACCACTTCCGGTGATGATGCAGTAAAATGACCTTGGGTGCGGTGTCATGAATGTATCCGAACTTAACTTTTTGGGTTATGTGTCATGAATGTGTGGGTCAGACTGGAGAACTGTAACCTTTGGTACTTACCTAAAGAATTAACAAATGCCAGGGGTCTCTGGGAAGAGAGGTTGTAATGCCTCCAGATGCAGTCTCCACTTATAAACTGTGCAATTTCCCCCTAAAAAACAAATGAATTAAACATGAATATATGAAAATACAAACTCGGAAATTGGTACAACCTTTTAGGCAGACTTGACTGTAGTTCAAATGAGACAGGTTTACACAGTAGCTGACAATAGACAAGTTATAGAGTGTTGCTCAATTTTGACAGGTTTTCCTGTCATTGACAGGTTTTGCTGGAGTTGACTTTAGACAGGTTTTATTGTAGTTCACTTGTTATATGTTTTACTGTACTTCACTTTCAACAGATTTTACTGTACCTTTAGATAGTTTCACTGTAGTTCAGTTTAGACAAGTTTTACTGAAGTCGCTTAAGACAGGTTTCACTGTAGATCACTACACTGTGGATTATTGTATTTCCCTTTAGACTGGTTCTACCACTGTTTCTTTTAGACAGGTTTTAAAGATAAGTTCACTTTTACACAGTTCACAGGTCTTACTGAGTTCACAAAATACAGATTTTAGTAAACTTATTTTTATATCTTATTTACCTGGTGTTCCTCACAGAGATGTGCCAGATTAAAGTTAGCAACCTCAAGACCGACATCAGCAGCCATCATGTAGAACAAAAGAGCAACCTCCCTATCATATAAAGAATGAATAAAAATATATGTTCTGATTATAAGTGAATATTCTTGACTTGTGGTACCTCAAGTGTAGATTTTGTATTTTCAGATATAAAATTTTATTAAAGATTGGAGACAATTTAAAATAAATTGTAATATAACTGATGTATTACATTGTTTTGCTCATACATACATCTATTCTTCAAAATAAAATTGAGGATCCTGAATTTATTCTTTAAAGCTGATTTTTAAAGCTCTGATTTTTGTGATTATTTGTCGCATAACCTTAATGTTAATCAAATCCAAGCCCTAAAAACAATACTCACCAGTTCCCTTCCTTATAAGCCATCAATGCAGATCTAAGAACCTTGCCTATAGCAGGATTCTGTTCTGCTATATGACGTGCCCATCTGCAATACAAAACATATTCTTGTAAACAAGTTTTAAGGCAGTTATGGGGGGATAACTGGAATTCGCCTTTATGTGCCATAAGTGTCCAAGCCATTGTGTCAAGAAGATCCAAGTTAATTTGCACATTCCAATATGCCTACATTCCCTCGTATAGCCTGTTTACAGTAAGACCCAAACACCTCTCTAATATGAACACCTCTCAATGTGAACTCTTTTTGGTGTTCCATCTATTTTATCTCCATAGATTACAATGTTAAAAACTATGAAATGTGACCACCTGCCAACCTGAACAATTTTAGCCAATCCCAATTGGTAAGGATTTAACAGGTATTACTGTATTTAAATAAAACACTATACAAATAGTGACTGCCATTGAGGGCAATAGTGTAAATTATTTCCCCGAGGGAATATCCTCTACAATTTACTATTCCCGAAGCCGCAGGCTGAGGGAATAGTACATTGTAGAGGATATTCCCAAGGGGAAATCATTTACACTATTGCTCGAAATTAGGCAGTCACTATTTGTTTTATTATATACCCTATACTGACTCTCGTCCCGTTTCCTCTGCGAAGGCCAAAAAGGCTTACAAAGCCCCCTCCCCGGGGGAGTGTTAGCATTATAAGCTGTGATGTCATCAGATGCTCAACAGAAATTTTTGCCTCTGAGACTCTCACTTGACAAATTCAATCACGTTTAACACGCGGAATAGATTATCATAACACTTGAAATTACACAGACGTATTGAGCTTAGGGAACTTTATACACGTTGCTTATATTGTATCGTTCACGCACGTCTGTCATGGTGAACGGAGTTGATTTGTGTTTGTGCTCATCCTCCAATTTTTCTGTTTTTCGTCTGCGCATTGATGATGCGCAGACGTTTCCAAGGGTAATAGAAGTTGCAATTGTGACGTCAGCGGGCAATAGTTCAAATGTATATTCCCGCTAACGTCACATTTGAGGGAATATAACTTTCCGAGGGAAATAGTAAATCTATTTCGGAACACGTGACTAGGTATTGACCAATCAGGATTAGTGTTACATATTGGGTATATAATAATATATTATATTAACACTAAACACTATACTATATTACTTACAAAGTGGCGAGTGGTGGATTCCTGGGGAGAACTGAGGTACCAGCCCTCATATAGTAATGCGCAACCTGTATCCCTGCATCGAGTTGACCCATATTCGCTGCAGTCAGAAAATATTCAGCTGCCAAATTCTGAAAATCATGTAATCATAATGCAGTGTATTTCATTTGTAGCATTACAAAACACACAAAAATCCAAAACTGTAAAAATATGATAAACATGCACTACACCACTGTTAAACCAGTGTATTCGTTCAGTCATACACACAGTACATCTATGTACTAGTAATACCTTTACTTGATGCATCAAGATGACACTACGCAAAGATGAGACTAAAATGTTAGATACTGCACCAACGAAAAGATGGCAGTGTGGTTGGTTGACCAATAATAATACTCAACAGTACCCTACTCTACGGATGCCATCTTTATAATGACCTACACAGTAAAATAAATATTTGAGATATTTAGTAGAAAAGAAACCATACATTGAAATCAACATGAAAAAATTTCAGCATTGTTGTTAATGATATGACTGCTGAGAACACACACTAAAACTTTGAAATGAACTTACTTGATCAGCAGGCTTTCCTGGTATCAGCCCCCCTTGGTAGAAATATCCCATGTTGGTATTAGCCTCAGGGTTGCCCATTTCTGCCCCTTTAGAGTACCAGTATGCAGCTTTAGTGATGTTTCTCTCCTCATTGTGAGCATACCAGCCTAGCATGTTGAATGCATTGGGAAAGTTCAGTTCTGCAGCCATCTCCATGTAATGTAGACCAAGTGTGATGTCCTTTTCAATACCTTTACCCTGAAAAACGAAATTCAATCAAACATGTATTTTCAGAGTAAAAATATACTTTTTGATTTTCTCAGGGATGCTTTTTCATTTTAAAATAATAATAATAACAACTTATAATGGATGAAATCTACAAATCAATTCTTCATAATATTTGTTTATTTAAATAATAATAACATTTCTACAACTGGTTTGTGTTCATGGCATAAATATGGGTATAACCAGGTATAACTGAACAGCTATTTTGGATTTGGAGTGGCACAAAAATAGTAGTATTTGTGATCTTATCTTGAGACACATTTCAAAATAAATGAGAATTCCCAGATTTGGATTTTTCTCAAAACACAAATAAAAATACATCAATTTGAAACTTTTGAATTTGAAACACAATACAATATATCTCAAAATTAATAGAAGTGCCTCTGTTGTTCTTATACATAGTATGGGGGGACAGCCATTAATGTATTCCTTTGAAACATTGTTTGTGGATTCAATAACAAAACGAAACTAGCATATAGCCTTTTAACCCCTTACTCCCACCTGAGAATTAAATCCACTTCCTGATTGCATTCTAATTTATTAACATGACATCCAACATACAATTTAATTAGAAATAATGCATTTTTATCAAAATTTAGGGGTATGTTGTGAAATAACTCCATTGCTTACCACCATTAAGATGAAGCCGTAATTATACATGGATTCTGCATCACCAGCATCTGCACCACGCTTGAAATAAAAAGCAGCTTTCTGTGGATTCCTAGCAACGCCTTGTGATCCCCAGTGTAACATCTTAGCCAAGTCCAACTGTAGTAAAAATCAATACAGAATTAAGATAAAATTAAAAATTGGGGATTCACAGGGTGAAATCAGAGTAGACACTGAACATACGGCAACACTTCTGTGTAAATTCATCACTCTGGTGATATATTAATACGGCAACACTGTTATTTTAAAGGAAGTTTAGCATTTGACCAAGTGTTCTCCGAGGCAGCACGATAAATAAGAGATACAAATTCAATAACCAAGATGTGAGAAGGCAGTTAGTAGTTTCAACACAAAGTGGCTAATTTAGGGCAGATAACATGGCAGGGTTCCTTAAACTTGATTATTCATCAGATTTTAAGTTAATGGTTCAATGTTCATATTACCCTTATGTATCTGATAGGTATTCATATGAAAATACATGTATGTCCAGTAAAACAAAATATTATCTGATCGATGAAAAAAGATAAAAATATGTTAACTGACCCGATTTAGCGACCTGGTGGTGAAACTAGTAATGACCTACTTGCAGTTTGGTGACTTGCAAGCATGGCTTAGAATGAATCAGTTCTAGATGATCTTGTTCATGAAATAATTTTGAAAGTTCATATATACAGGTATTGTCAGGTCAGCTAAATTGTACTTGTTGGAACTAGAAAACAGTAACTCCACAGAGCAGCAATTCCCACAGAACAATACATGTTTTGATAAATAGTGGCCATCTTAAAAATCTCTTCACGAACAGAGCTCCCTTGTCCTTAGGTATAAGCATATGGAATTATAACCAAATCAGTACACTGGTATTTGAGTTATTGAAGATTATGTTTTTTATGAAAATTTGTGGACATTTCAGCTGCTATCTTAAAAGAATTCCTTAAGGCAAAAGTGTATAAATTTGAACCAAATCAGTCAGGTATTTGATTAAAGATTATGATTTTCTACAAAAATGGCCGCCATTTTGAAATTAAGTGGCCTTCTTAAAACCTTGAGCAGAGCTCCTTTCTCTCTAGGCATCAGCATATAATATTTCAAACAAATCTGTACTTTTTTCCAAAAATAGTGGACATTTTGAAATTTAGCAGCCATCTTGAAAATGTCTTCAAAGCTCGTTTGTCCCAAGGCATCAGCATATATTATTTGAATGAAATCCCTCTACTGGTATTTGAGTTATCAAAGATTACGCACTTTTACGAAAAATGGTGGCCATTTTGAAATTCAACGGCCATCTTCTTAAGCAAAGCTCCTTAGTCCCTAGGCATCTGCATATAAAATTTGAACCAAATCCATCAACTCGTATTTGAGTTAACATTTTTTTAAAAAATGGTGGCCATTTTGAATTGAGCGGCCATATGGAAAATTCATTCTCGAGGTTCTAGCACCATAAGGCATAAGGCTATAAATTTTGAATCAAACCCGTCAACCGGAAATTGAGTTATTGCCAAGACAAACAGACGGAGGTGGGATTATCATGATATGGTGTCATAAGTAATGCCGTGGTCACATTTGCTCCGATTTTCACTACGGCGCCCGGCCGATTGAGTATTTTGTTCAAAATTGAATACAATATTGAACAAAACACTCAATCGGCCGGGCGCCGGCCGATGGATCGGAGCATATGTGACCCAGGCATTAGGAGGAGGGAAAGTATGGCAACAGATTCCAGACAGTCATATGTTGGATTTTGGCTATTTTCTGAGGATTTAAACAGGTGCATATGTTAGGCCAATGCATTACCTCTGGGAAAAGGACTCATAGGTATGATAAAATAATTTTGACTTTGAGACTTTGCGCTCTGATTTCTTTCGGCACAATTTTGAAAACTTTAGAGATCCAAGTTGCCCATGCGGATTTCGAAACCAAACAAAGGTACACTATTTACTTGATTGCCCTCAAACACATGATGCCCGACAAACTTTTCTCCAAAGTCTCTCTCAACATGCTGACCCTGATCTAAAACTTTTCTCCAGCAAATGTAAACATGACAAGGTAGATATGATTCTTTTTGGTGATAAAAATCTTTCTCCAAAGCTCAATTCCACACTCATAGAATTATCGTCTGAATTTATTAACAAAATCTTGTGACAACAGCTACCTTGCCAAATTTTCAAACTATCATCTGTCATCTCATTTCATCTTCATCATATCTAAACACTACATTATGTTATTGTAATTATTATTACTATTGTACATGTAAAATATTCCACTGTATAAATTGTATCTCCACAAGCCAATAATGTGTAAACTTAGGCTTGTTTTTCCATGTTACTTGTATGAAAGATTGTACATTACCTATGCTAATGGAAATAAAATAACCTTAAAAAAACAAAACAGGGAAGATGCAAACAACCCTGCCACGTCTTTTTTTCTAAAATGTTGCTTCCCAAAAGCCAAATCGCCCCCAAGGCATATACAGGGTGATCACTAAGTTCTGGGAATTTATCTGTCATTTCATTATTTTTCAACCAATTTACTTGAAATTTTCAAGGTAAATGGGGAATGTAATTTTGGGTTGGATAAAACAGTCTCATAGTCATCTGATGTCACAATGGATAATTATTGTTACTATAGCAACATGACGAATGGCGTAGTGGGTCAAGTAAAATAAAAATGAATTCAAATTTTGCTTGATCCAAAACTATGGTTAATAAATACCTATTTGGTGGACATATTTCTGTGATTTTTTTTATTTTTCAAATACTTCTAACTTTAGTTTCTAAAGTAACATCTTTATTGTTATATAAGAGTGTACTTTGCTCTATTTCGTACCATTCATCAGCATCTCAAAGTCACAATCATGACCAAAAATAGCAGGGAGTTATCTTCCATTATGACTATGCTCCTTCCCATCAATCAAGCTCCCCATACTACTCTTGAAGAATTAGGGTTCACACAAGTTATTACTGCCCCATATTCACCAGACAATATTCACCAGATGAAGCACTATTAAGCTTCACTACATTTTGGGTGCTAAGGCATTATATGAGAGGTCATAAGTTTGATTCCGATAAGGAACTGATTTCAACGGCTTGAGCAAATCTTCAAGGGATACCAAAGGGAGGACTGGAACACATCTTTATGGACTAAGTTTGACAACAATGCATGGGTGCCCAGGCTAATGGAAACAATCATAAATGAAATGATCCTCTCAGCAATGAAGAATACTTCTGAATAAATGACTTTAAGAGTACTGTTCTGCCTCGAGTACAAGTAGTTTGAAGCAACCATCTAGGCAAGATGAATATGTTTTGGTAGGAAATTTTCAAATTAACATCAGTCAAAATTTGCTGACCCGCGAACCACTTTTACTTTTCTGTAATTACAATAAAATAAATTGTAGATGTGATATGTATATGAAACATTGCTTGTCAATTCAGAATTATACAATGTACACTTGCTGAAAATTTCAACTCAAATGGTTGAAAAATCTTGAAATGCCAGACCAATTCCCAGAACTTAATGATCACCCTGTATCTCTCTCCACATACCTTAAGTGTGGGTGGCGCCCTTATGCAGCTATTATGGCTTCCCTAAAGCCAAATCGCCCCTAAGGTGTATCTCTCTCCACACACCTTAAGTGTGGGTGGCGCCCTTATGCACCTATTATGGCTTCCCAAAAGCCAAATCGCCCCCAAGGCGAGGCGTATCTCTCTCCACACACCTTAAGTGTGGGTGGCGCCCTTATGCACCTATTATGGCTTCCCAAAAGCCAAATCGCCCCCAAGGCGAGGCGTATCTCTCTCCACACACCTTAAATGTGGGTGGCGCCCTTATGCACCTATTATGGCTTCCCAAAAGCCAAATCGCCTCCCAAGGCGAGGCGTATCTCTCTCCACACACCTTAAGTGTGGGTGGCGCCCTTATGCACCTATTATGGCTTCCCAAAAGCCAAATCGCCCCCAAAGCGAGGCGTATCTCTCTCCACACACCTTAAGTGTGGGTGGCGCCCTTATGCACCTATTATGGCTTCCCAAAAGCCAAATCGCCCCCAAGGCGAGGCGTATCTCTCTCCACACACCTTAAGTGTGGGTGGCGCCCTTATGCACCTATTATGGCTTCCCAAAAGCCAAATCGCCCCCAAGGCGAGGCGTATCGCTCTCCACACACCTTAAGTGTGGGTGGCGCCCTTATGCACCTATTATGGCTTCCCAAAAGCCAAATCGCCCCCAAGGCGAGGCGTATCTCTCTCCACACACCTTAAGTGTGGGTGGCGCCCTTATGCACCTATTATGGCTTCCCAAAAGCCAAATCGCCCCCAAGGCGAGGCGTATCTCTCTCCACACACCTTAAGTGTGGGTGGCGCCCTTATGCACCTATTATGGCTTCCCAAAAGCCAAATCGCCCCCAAGGCGAGGCGTATCTCTCTCCACACACCTTAAATGTGGGTGGAGCCCTTATGCACCTAAAGCTATGGCTCCCCAATAGCCATATTGCATGCTTCCCAAAAGCATGGAGGGCTGTCATGCCCTCAAATAAAAATATTTCACCAAGCTGCCTGGAGTACATCCTCCACATTCAAAAATACTAAATACTGATTGCACTCGGTTTTCATATAGATGTCACGGTGGATATAGCCAAAATCCAAGCTCACTTTCTAAAGAGATCGAGTCGTCCAGATTTCTATTCTGGACAATCAGTAATGTCCCAATATAATAACGCAAATGCGAGTAGGTAGTTACTAGGGGTGGGACGGATAACCGAAATACCGAAAAACCGCGGTTCATAGCCTTCGGATCGGTTTTCGGATCACGGCCCTACTTTCGGATCAGCTTTTCGGATCGTTTTCGGGTTAATATTTCATTGGTCAAGTATCAATAAAACAGTTAAAAACACTGTTTTACAGCAACATTTTTGATATTCCTAGTCCCTACCTTGTCTGTCTTGTCTGTTGCTAGCTCACTCATTTACTAGATTCGTTTCGTATCCGCGTATTCGTATCCCTCGGTAATCAATCATGTGGTCCCTGGTACTATATTCTTTAGTCGTGTATTCTAAATAAGTTAATGAGTATCAATATCCCAGGTTGGCTGAGGTTGCCAGGGTTCTTTTGGGTATTCCGGCGACATCGGTCCCGAGTGGAAGGGTCTTCTCGACGGCTGGTGACATTTTAACAGCCCAAAGGGCCCAATTGAAACCAGAAGCAGTGGACATATTGAGAAAAAGATGAAAGTGTAAACTCACTAAATGTACACATTCATGACTTCCTCTGTAAAAAACGCATCACAGAATAAAGGTTTCTACAAGCATAAATTAGTTATTTTATTGGTTGTATTAAAAGAAAGTGACAGTCAGCAGTGAAGTCAGAGACAAAGCAGCTAATCATGTCAATCAATACAAATCCTTAAAATGAATGAACCGAACCGAAAAAAACCGAACCGACGGCTGATGATCCGAAAAACCGAACCGAACCGAACCAAAACGAACCGTCCCATCCCTAGTAGTTACCAGTTTCACCACCAGGTGGCTCGCTCGGGTCAGATAGCATGGCGGGTATAGAAGAAAGTTAAATTTACATAGGTTTTAATGGTTCAATTTTCATATAGCCCTTATGTATCGAATAGTTATGCAAATTAAAGTATGTCCAGTAAAAGAAAATGTTATATGTCCAATTCAAGAAAAGATATTTCACTTTTTGTGATTTTGTAATATCACAGTGGACATATTATTATATGGGGATTCAACCCGAACTAGAAGTCACTTTTTCGAAAAATATTAAATTTTCAAAATTGATAAACAATTTTCGAAACCATATTTTTAGATGTATTTTTACATGTAGATTTCAAATATGATATCACTTTGACTGAATTTTGAATATTTAATGACGTAAATCAAGATCATTTCTACTCGCATCTAGTCTATTGCTCATAAAACATCATATATACCTTAGATATATCTTGAGACCAAATCATAAGCACGATATCGACAATATATTGAGGATATCAACAGGACAACCAAAAGAACAACCAACTGTCAGAATTGAACGCAATAAGTAGAAAACAGAATACAATGTTTTTTGGGGGATTTTTCTATATTGTAAGCCCTTAGAAGTAATAAATATGGCTTCTCTAAGCCAAAATAATCTGAAGGAAAAAGCCAATCAGACCGGAACAAATTTGAGCGGGCTTTTTAAATTTAATTTGAATTTCTATTGATGTAAGTGGAAATTCATGGCTAGGAACAATCATCGAATTGATGCAGTAAACGAAATAATTCAAGCCTCAGAGTTGATAAGTTGATAAACAAACTTGTTTTACAACAAATAACACGAAAAAATCAGGGGGTTACTCTAATTGTGTTTTTAGGAGACCCCCTCTCTTTAATTTACGTTTCTCTATTTTTAACTATTTAAAAATGTTATTTCGCGATCTGCACTCAAGAGTTCAAAGGCTAGTATTGCAATACTTAGTTTATCCAATTCATTTTGAAAATAATATATAAATATTTTGGCTCTGGATCCTCTTACAATACATGTCACTAGTCCTTGTTGTGCCTTGAATGGATTTTTGAAAAATGTTCACTGAAGATTTGTAAAGGCGTATTACAATGCAATATCACTTAACTAAAAAAAGATGATCTAATTTCGAATAAATATTGCCATTATGGAGAATTTCCTTCACTTCCTGGTTTCGTTTTATTTCATTCATTTTGATGATAAATGATCCAAAATAACTGCAGATAAAAATAAATATAAATACTGATCTTAGTATATGTTTAAATGTAACAGTCATTATTATTGAATACTTCATTCTTGAAAACGTTTTGAAGTTGAGAAGTTGTACTTTGAATGGTAAAAAAAGAAAAGAAAAAAGACAGGTATAAAAACTAAACTAAAAAACTCATTAGTGATGGAAAAACAAATTTTGACACTAATATATTTGGCAGTAGTTTTCATGAATGTGAATGGAAACGTCAACTATGCAGAAAAAGGAGAGTTAAAGAAGATCCAAAATGATGGATTTAGTGAGGCCACTCCAAGTAATGACAATAAGTGCCAGCAATGTAATTGTACAACATGGACTGTGGACTGTAGTAACAGGAACATCACATCACTACCACTAGACCTTCCCTCAAATATTACAACACTGGATTTATCTGGAAATCCAATTAAAGTTCTACCAGACTATCTCCTAGGCCGTTATTATAAGAACTTGAAGACTTTGAATATTACCGAAGTGTGTCTTTTGAAAAATTTAAGTGCATATGTATTTCATGGACTTGGTAAACTGCAAAGTCTTTACCATAGATGCCATCATCGGAGCGTTCCCATCAAAGTAAATCCATATACATTTAAACCTTTAAAGAAAATACAAAACATTGAAATTACTGGATGTACAAGAACGATGTATCCTACTGCAAGATATGATTGGCTTGAGGCATTTAAAGGACTTCAGAACTCCAAAATAGAGAAAATCACTTACGTGTATATTTCATGGATACCATTCATAGTAAAAGAAATTAATTTCAAATATTTTGAGAACTGTAAGCTTAAAGAATTATATATGCCTAACAATAAAATTACTGCAATTGAAACAGGAGTTGTGAAGTATCTTCAGTATCTGGAAATAATTGACTTTTCTAGAAACATGATAGCAGCATTTATTCCTAATGACTTTGTTGTCCCTGTTTTATATCTTTTAAGCTTGATTCATCTAAAGGTCATTAAAGTTGATAACTCAGAAAGGAGAATGGCTATAGATATAAACAATCCTCGCACCGTAAACTGTGGTATTTTAAAATGGACACTACCACTGCCATTGGGACTTGAAGAATTACATATCAGTGGGACAATGGTTGATTCAAGACCAAGCTCAATTCCTTGTGAAATGAAGTTCCAAAGAGAAAACAGGCTAAGAATTCTTAATGCTGCTGACACCCATGTAGCAACCTACTTTGGGGCTCCAATAAAAGGTTTGGTGAACGTGCAGCAGATCATTGATAACATGTCTAATTGAAAGCCCATGTTTATAATAACAACGATTGTAAAATTGAACCTAATTTCCTCACATGTGCATATGGCTATTTCGAAAGCATACAAGTTCTTAATTTAGCCCATAACAGACTCCTACTACCTAAATCCACCAACTTCACATTGTTTAAGAACTGTTCCAAGTTGGTTCATTTAGACATATCATTTAATAACCTGACCAACATTCCTATCAATATCTTCAAAGAAACCTATTCTATTGAGACAATAAACCTTGGTGGTAATAAGCTGACAACTTTTAAAGTAAACTTCAACACACATGTACAGGTTTCGCTGAAAGTGCTGAATTTATCCCAGAATGCTTTCTATGACCTCGAGGAGTATGCTAGAAATAACATTGCTGCCGTTGCTGCCAAGAAATCTAACAGCAATCTTACTTTAGACCTTAATGGCAACCCCTTGATGTGTAAGTGTGATGCATTTTCATTCATTTATTGGATGAAGAATCATATTGATATCATTCACCAAGGATCCAATCTAACATGTCTGTACATAAATGGGTCACAAGTCAAGTTCACAGAATTGGATGTGACATATATGAAATTTGAATGCTGGAAGAGTGTTATAATGGCGTCAGGGATATCTGTTGGATTTGTTCTCTTGATTGTTGGACTTGTTATCTATGGATATAAACGTAGGTACAAGATTATGTATGTAATTCTACATCTTAGGGCATTGTTAAGACGAAACCAGTTGCCAGCTGTCGATTACGACTTTGATGGTTTTATAAGCTACAGTTCTTTGGACAAAAACTGGGTTCTAAATAACATCTATGGTAAGTTAGCCGCTCAATATGGATATAACATTTGTTTGGATGACCGCAACTTTAGACCCGGCCCATATATATCTGACATTATTGTTGAGAGTATCAGCAAGAGCAACAAAATCATTTTAATAATCAGCCAGAATTTCCTAAGAAGTGGCTGGTGTAAATTTGAAATGAATCTGGCAAGGGGTGAGCTTTCAACAAGGGGACGTGATTGCTTGATCTTGATTCTCAAAGAGCCAGTAGAATTACTCCCACCAGAGCTGATATCTCTCACTCTGCGATCTCTGCTGGAGACGCGAGTGTACCTGCAATGGAGTGAAGAAAATGACAGGAAATTGTTGTTCTGGAGGAAGATGAGAAATTCACTAGGAGATCCTAGATTCAAAGGAGAAGAGGATACTCCCTATCTGTATCAGAACAATGATGGAGATGATGAGATGAATCAGACTCTTTTAGAACCTTAGACTCTATTTTGTCTGATTTAGCATTCTTGGAGGTTTTCAAATTAATATGTTTGGTTTTATTAGCAATCATACAATTGTTGTAAATGTATATAAATGTATAATGTAAATATAAATGTATAATAATTTACTTTGCTCACACCTTTTGAATATTATCAATTTATTATAAATAACTAGAGAAACTAGAGCAACTCCAGGGAGTAGCAAATCCCACCAAACAAAACATATTTTGATATTTAGTGGCCATCTTGAAAATTTCATCTTGAACAGAGCATATGACAATATAAACCAAATTGAACCAAATATATCCACCAAAGATAGAAAAGATTATGCTTTTTTCCAAAAATGGTGGCCATTTTAAAATATGGCTGCCATCTTGAAAATATCTTCTTGAGCAGACCTCCTTTATCTGTAAGCATCAGCATATAAAAACAAACCCATCCACTGGTATTTGATTAATCAAAGATTACATTTTTTACAAAAATGCAGCCATTTTGAAATTCAGCTCTCATCTTTAAAAATTACCCTCAACAGAGTTCCTTTGTCCCTTGGCATCAGCATATAAAATTTGAACCAAATCCATCCACTGATATTTGAGTTATCAAAGAAAACGTTTTTAAAACAAAACGGCAGCCATTTTGAAAGGACCATTCTCAGTTTGGAGAATGAAATTATTGGCTTATTTCGACGTCATCAATACTCCAACAATTTTGATTTTTTTACATAGTGTAGATTGAAATGTGATCGTTTTATTTATTTATAAATAACACGCCGCACAAATCTTTCGATCACAACCAGAGAAAAATGACATATTGTTAGCTTGCAAACATATTCCCCAATGGTTACAATCACCTGTGCATTCAGGTTGCCAGCTCCAGCTTGGTGTTCCAGCCACTGATACAACTCCCCAGTTTCATCAGTCTGAGCTTCAACTTGCCATTCATCAGTTACACGCACCCACTCTGTATGAACCTGAAAATATAGTAAAAAAGAATGGATCAGAAATATGTGCAATTAGAATATTGGCCCATCGACAATAAATACATACAAAGTAAAACCTGTAAAGTGGAACACCTCTGCTAGTAGAACACTTTTCAGGGTCACAGAATCATGTGACTTAATGTTAATTGAACCTCTGTAAGTGGAACACCTCCCAAGAACACTTTTAGTGGTACCGAATGTGTTCAACTTAGGCTTAGACTGTGCTCTAGTCTCTGATCAACCAACCTTTACTTTAATTAAAGGATGTTCTTGTGATATCTTTACTCCCTATTAGAGTCTTAGATCTTTATAGCTTCCACACAAATCAAGATTGGCAATTTGACCGGTTTATCACCAACAGTAATACATATAATTATTTGGATAATTCATATAATTACAAGGCAATATCCTAAGAGACTATGACATGACAAATATTTTAGTGGGAGATTTGTGAATTATTCCTCATTAAAACTATATAAAGAAAAAAATATGTAAACACAAATGTCAGAATCAGTAAGAACAAAAAGCATATTAAAAACAAAGTAAGAAAAATATAATACACCTGGCCATAGGTAATCTAATGTAGAATGCCGGAGTACCTGGCCAGTAACTAATGAAGGAAATAATAATATCTGATTCATTCGTCATTTATTTCACCATTTAGGAATTTATTTTTATTTAATTTCAAACACTTTCTTTTTCTCTGAACAAAAATAATACAAAATGAAACTAAACTGATCTGTTCAGAGAAAAGGATAATGCTTGTCATTAAATCTGATTCATTGTTTGGTAAATTCACCGCCTACTATATACCTTTAAATAAAATGACAGGCGTGACATGTTTAAAGTTAAGAGACCTGACATGCATTAATCTTATTTCAACAGGATCTTTCATCCTGATTGAAAAACAGCCTTTGAAAGTGAATCAATCAATTGCCAATAAACACAATTTTCCACTCACAGATCAAACAAAAAACTGGATTGTGAAATTTATGAAAAATATATTTTTATTCAACTCCGCTAATCCTACAGATATTACTTAAGCAATATAATCAAGTGGAAAAACAACAAGCTCTACAAATAAATTAAGGAAATAGTCAACACGATTAGCCTAGATAGAATACATTTGAGATAAATTACAATTCAGTTAACTCATGCTTGAAATTAGATCAATAGTTAAGGAATTTAGAATATTTACAATAAAAGAGAAATGTTTGTAGATTTACGATACTTTAGAGGGGATTTAAGGTATATGCTACTGTTGTTTGATCAATTCGAAGGCTCCTTTGCAAATTACTCTTCATAAATCAACTCATTTGCAAGTATGCAGGATGGCACAGATTCATAAGGCAGCTGAAAGAGGCTAATCAGGAATGCAATAAATCTTGGCCTAAATGAATTACAATGGCCTGCTTGTAAAAATTGATTTAAAATCTCTCATGATAAATTTAATGAAAATATCCAGCATATTATAATACTGAATCTGAAAACATGTTTATAATAATCATGAGGAGAAAATGTGACGTTTCTGTAATAAATCATATTTGAAGTTTTTACACAGCAATATTTATATCTAAACCAATGGGACATGTGTAAAAAACAATTATCTCAAGAAAATGAGTGAACTTCCAACAAATAAGTCATACATTTGATTGTGAGAAATAATGCTTGAATTTGAAGTATTTTACAAACATATAAAGATCTGCAACATGCTTTATGGTGTGACCCATATAAATGGCAGGTCACGAATATAATGGTAAATGTAAATACATGTATTGCTTGAAAACATTTAAAGTACACTAAATTATCAAACTAATATCGCTGCAATTAGATGTATGTCAAAATATCAAAATGTTAAAACATGTGTCTCAGTTTTTTTTGCCATCTTTTGATTAACTCCGTTAGCGAAGCACAATTTTGTCTGTGTGTGGTAACATGCTTCGATTTTTACAGACTAGATTTTTGTCTGCATTTAGTCTGTCATTTCCCAACGTTTCAAGTTCCTGAATCATGCAACAATCAATTCACATACCCTCCAATTACTTTATTTATGTTCTTGTGGAATCATTGCAAAATATCCTTGTTATTTTGCATTTAACATTTAAATGGCCAGTATACATGCACATTCAAGTAGAAAATAAATCATCCAATAAGACCCCTCCTTACTTTGTCCTTTGTTGATTAAGAAAATCATAACCTTTTAAAGATGTTTTAAATCCTCCTTCCACTCTTTATTGCCAATTGTGTTTAAGTGTTAATTACTATTCTTTGTATATGTGGGGAAAATATAACCATTTCCTTATGTAATTAGTTATGAAAAAAACAAGTTTACATTTTAACTAGACCAGCAAGGCCAAGGACTGAGATTTGTAAAACCAATGATAGAAAAAATGAACAAATTTTAAATCGTAGTATATATCAGCCTATCGCATCCCAAGAGGATTTATGAATACATGTACATATAAATCTGAATCTAAAACTTCTTCATAATCTTTATAATATGACACTGATAAGTTCTCAACATCAATAGGCGATTCATTATACTCTTATAAAGGGAAAATAGATGGCAATAGTAGATCTGGTCGGGCTAGTAATACTGTTCCTTCATAAGGAGTAACTGATAAAAGTTACTTGATTTCTATAATCAAACATTTCCAATTTGAATCATTTACACTGTACATGTACAAAGGTGATCTTTTTCACAAGGAGATTGTGATTTAGCCTTACCATTGTGATCCCTAGAGTAAATAAATAAATTAACTTTCAGACTTTTTAACACTGTAACAATGTAAGCCCATGTCAGGTCAACCTGACCTTTTTTTCCCTAACATAACAATCATTTGATATTGAATACAAGAAAATAAATATGAAAACTAAAGCTCTTCCAGAAGAAAATTAGACACAGAATTCAAATTCAAATATTCCATCATAGAACAACATTTTAGTCCTTGATGGTAAAACATGCATATCTACTGAAATCTCATGGCATACAAAATTTTAAAGCTTTATAGCAAAGCCTATATCACAACATATTATCTGATTATGGACCACTCTAAATCAACATAACATCAACAAATAAAAAAATAAAACAAAAAAGCCACATCTGAAAGTTGATTTTATTTCTACAAGGGGGCAAATCACCATCTAAAGGCAGTTTATACAGAAACAATGCTTTAAGGAGCAGCACAATCTTTTAATAACAATCAGCCAATACAGATGCACAATTGTACCTACAATTTATGAGCCTCAATCCCTTTATTTAGTTGTTATCATAGGCTAAGATCACACTATAATCTCAACAATAGAACAGGAAAATTACATTCGTGACAATAATATGTAATGCAGCATAAGGATTTACAATGCATGCTATATTCAGGTAACTATTTATTAAACTTTATTTTCGATTTTCAACTTAATATCTATTAGATATGAGATTCATCCACTTTTAATGGCCAACTTTTATTAATTTAACAATCTTGTACTACAATAATTTCTTATTTTTACAAGAAACAGTATACTGCATAGGAAAAATGATTCCAATATTTTTGGTTAAGTATTGACTGAATTTTGACAGATAAACCTCTATATACTGAAGTTTTATAAATATTGTATGCATGTACATGTAGTGAAAACAGGATATACCAAAAGGTGTTAAAACAGAGCAAGAAAATGAAACATTTTTTAGAACAACCAAGGAAAGCCAGTATTTCTAAAAGAAAGTTTTTATAAGAAACAATAAAATAACTTTCTCAGTTTGGTGAAGTCCTTATTGACTGAACTTTACGAAATACTGGCAAACCTCTATCCTGAAGTGTCAAGAGACCTCTAAGATAATTAAAGACTTCATGGCACATTGAAAGATCTTATTTTACAGAGGAATTCACTCCTGATTTACTTACGCTCTTATTAAGACAATTTAAAAGGTGCATCAAGACCCGATGCAATAATAACTCATCCAAACTTATCTTTTAATGATCCCTAGATAAAATCAGTTATCTTTTCACATGGTGTTATAATATGGTATGTAGTATACAGCAGGGCTCTCAGATAGGGGGGGGGGTGGGGGTGTTAAGTTTTCCTACCCCTCAGAAATCTTGGAAAAAATGTCATATCACAGCAATCAGCTTTAATTTAGCTTAGTGTACAACAATCCAATAATCTTTAACTTTACACTGTGCATCCTACATATTGTCTAAATCTGATGAAAAATGGAAATTAAGCGATCATAATGAACCTGATTTTTAGCGTATCTGTGATACCATACAATTACCTAGCAGCTAATTAAATTCCTCTTGGTTACATGTCATCATCTAACATACCCTACCCTGCGTGCAGAGTCTAGTTATAAACTACCCTCTGCCTAGCATAGACTATATTAAAGTTTAGTAACCCCGCCTTCACGATCAGTGCCTGTGGCAGCCCAGGCCATAAATAAGTTCAAATCTACCACGCTGACCTTTTCTCAACCAATCAGCGAACAACTCTGATTGGCTTGATGAGATTAGAGATTTATTGAAAACTGAAAGAGAAATGGAAATCATGAATTTGACATGGAAAATTTGAAAAAAACAGGCGATTTTGTGAGAAAACCAGTGAAAATTGCCTGTTGCCTGCTGCTAATGACACCCTTGAAGTGCGATAAACATGTATGCATATGCAATGTTTTCAATTTTATTCCTGCTTGATTGTCATATAAAATCAATAATGTATCAGGTAACTGACCGCCCTTGAATATAAACGTGAAAATGGTACTAATTATACTTCATCACATGGGACCATTGTTTACAGTGGTTTAAAATGATTTTCCTTTAAACTGAGCCTAATCAGATATGATTAATTATAAATAGTTCACACAAAGCTAATGCAATAACCCTAATAATTTTTCCAAAACATTACAATAATCTTCAATCAAATACTGCAAGTTGTTATGGAATATAAAGTATCTAATAATATAAATTAATGTCACATCAGAGTCTGTAATGTGATTAAGA